GTGGGCGCCAGGCTGGTTGGGGGGTGTACATGTGAGGTGAAGGGTGGTGGGTCATAAAGCCTTCTGATGGGACAGTGGACATAAGACCGTTGTTGAGGTGCCCCCACAGTGAAGGTCAGACACCAGGGCAGGATAGGGCCCGTTACCTCTCTGTGAACTTGGCGAGGTTTTCTGGTGACTCTTGCCTGGATTGTTTATTCAGGCTGGTAGATTAGTTGGGTGGAGGAAATGGGATCGGCCAGAGGCATTGCGAGTCTGAAGCTTTGAACAAGAGGTGGTGAGAGGTCAGGATCGCTGCTGAGAGTGTGAGACCATCACACAGGTCTCTGTGGCTGAGCTAAAGCAAGAAATAGAGGTGAGCGGGGATACTTAGAAACGAGCGCCTGCTCTCTGGTGCCGGGGACTTTGGTGTTACAATGCAAGACTCTGGCAGATTAAGAGGCCGCTGCATTGGCCCTGCCTGGGTTCTGTGTGTGGACTGGGCATGTTGGAGGGTCAAAGAAATGCCTACGGTGCGGGCCTGGGGGCTGCAGAGGCGTTGCCTTGCCTGTCCGAGGTCGGGTGCCCCAGGCCTTCCCATCCCAGCAACTTCAGGCACTGGTCATCACCACTTGCAGGGACCACTGGAGTTTTTTTTAAGACCTTCCTCTGAAGTTCTCGTAAATTTAGACATGGATGTGCGGTGGTCACTGTGGGTGGGTGTCAGCCACTCTTTCCCTGTCTTGCCCAGGTGGTTTCTCGCACTGAGCAACAGGAGAGCCCCAGGCACCTGACAGGGTGGACATCACTTCCCCAATATCCAGAGACGCTCAAAAGAACATGGCCCTCACACGGAGCATCTGTTCTGTGTCCATCCCTGTACGATGCCTGGGACAGTGGCCACACCTCATTTGTAACTTTTCTTTCTCACTCAAATCCCAACTCTGCCTTTCAGCTCTCGTCCTTTCCCTTCCACTGCTTCCTTGAAGGATTCTAACATTTCATCTATGCTTAAGATGGTGTGAAATCTGCCCATGTCCTTAAATGGTCCTTGAACACCAGATACTGTCATGAAGTCACACATGTTTTGTTTTGTTTTTAAATATTTTTTTATTTATTTCTCGGAGAGAGAGAGAGAGACAGCGTGAGCAGGGGAGGGCCAGAGAGAGAGGGAGACACAGACTCTGAAATTGGCTCCAGGCTCTGAGCTGGCAGTCAGCACAGAGCCCGACGCGGAGCTCGAACCCACAAACCGCAAGATCATGACCTAAGCGAAAGTCGGACGCTTAACCGACTAAGCCACCCAGGCGCCCCAACACACGTGTTTTGTAAATTAATTCATTTTTTAATTTACATCCAAGTAAGTTAGCATATAGTGTAACAAAGATTCAGGAGTAGATTCCTTAATGCCCCTTATGCATTTAGCCCATCCCCCCTCCCACAACCCCTGCAAGTAACTCCATAACTCCAACCTACTGTTTTTTCTCCATATTTAAGAGTCTCTTATGTTTTGTCTCCCTCCCTGTTTTTATATTATTTTTGCTTCCCTTCCCTTATGTTCATCTGTTTTGTATCATAAATTCCTCAGATGAGTGAAGGCCTATGATATTTGTGTTTCTCTAATTTCGCTTAGCATCATACCCTCTAGTTCCATCCACATAGTTGCAAATGGCAAGATTTCATTCCTTTTGATCGCTAAGTAAGCAAACTCCATTGTGTGGACATTTGGGCTCTTTCCATACTTTGGCTCTTGTCGATAGCGCTGCTATAAACATGGGGGGGGCGGGGGGCAGTGTGCCCCTTTGAAATAGCACACCTGTATTCCTTGGATAAATATCTAGTAGTGTAATTGCTGGGTCTTAGGGTAGTTCTATTTTTAATTTTTTGAGGAACCTCCATACTGTTTTCCAGAGTGGCTGCACCCGTGTGCATTCCTACCAGCAGTGCAAAAGCGTTCCTCTTTCTCCGCATCCTCACCAGCATCTGTTGTTGCCTGAGTTGTTGATGTTAGCCATTCTGACGGGTGTGAGGTGGTATCTCATTGTGGTTTTTATTTGTATTTCTCTGATGATGAGTGATGTTGAGCATCGTTTCATGTGTCTGGAAAAGTGTCTATTCATGCCTTTTGCCCATTCTTCACTGGATTATTTGTTTTTTTGGGTATTGAGTTTGATAATCCTTTATAGATTTTGGATACTAACCCTTTATCTGATGTCATATTTACATATGTATCATTTACAAATATCTTCTTTGCTTATGTTTTAATTGGGTAATGTATTCTTTGTTATTGAATTATGAGTTCTCCCCTTCTGTATGTTGCATTTGCATTCTGTTGATTGTTTTCTTTGGTGCACAACAATTTTAAATTTTGATATAGTCCACCTTACCAATTTTTTTCTATCTTTCAAGTCCAGTGTGAGAAAGCTTCCTTCCTTCTAAGTTATATGGTTTGAGAACCATGTGTAATTCTTCATTTTTGTATAATGGTATAACATACCCCAAACTTTTGCATGTGGTATATTCAGTTTTCCTTGTGCCTTTTCTTCAAATGGCTGGTCTTTCCCTATTGAAGTCCTTTACGGCCACATCCAAATCATTTGACCATCTGTGAGAATTTATTTCTACTTATTTTTTGCTCTCAATTCTATTACATTCGTGTATATGTATCAGGATCTCATACCAGAATCACAGTGTTTTGATATATACTTTAAAAAATTGTGTCTTAACTCCTCTTTGAAGACTGGCATGAAGCCAGTCAGTTCCTCTTTTGAAATAGCTGATTAATTCCACACCCCCAAATAATCCCCATATCAGGCCCTCATCGCCTAATCAGCTCAGAACCAGGTACCATAAAGCTGAGCATACCCTATGCCCTGGAGTCTAAGAAATTGTTAAACCTCGCGTAAGCTACTCCTTCCAGCTCCAGCTTGCTGTCACTTTGTCCCTCACTACAGGCCCTGTTGGGTTCTGCCTGACCCTCTCTTGTTCCCAGCTGTAAGTCACAAAGAGCTTTGCCTTTCATCTATTTGAGTGGTATTTGTTCTCACCTGCCATCCTCCTCATCAACAACAAAAATAAAACCTGTAAGTTTTACATAACATCTACACACTCAGAAGAGTACTGTGTATGCGGTGAATGTTGTAGTTTTCAACCAGTAGCCTTTTTTCACTGAGCACCAAGAAGTTCACAATGTCAACATATTGAGAGGTTAGAAGTCAGCCAGAATTGCACCTCCCATATCCAACTGTCCTTATTAAACAGCTAAATACGTGGGGCAGTTTCCTGAACGCTCCCACTTTCAGACCTGCCTGGGGCTCCGGGGTCCTTCCCAGAGTTATGGCACCGCCAGTGTCTATCAGAGAAGCCATCCCTCTTCTACCAGTGTGTTACGTTTGTTTCTTAAATGCTCAGGGAGACCAGCAGATTGCTATGCTCTCTTGCTTAATCTGGAGTAGTCACTAGGGCTGTTGAGGCCTCAGTACTTATCCTTTATCCCCCTATCAGTTTGGGTGGGTCCATCACCCAGCCTTGGACAAGGGGACTTTAGCTGGCTTCACCTCGCAGCTCACAGAGGTTTCCCTTCTTTGGGGGCATTATTGTCTTTTACTGTCTCATGAGATTTGTAATGGATTTTTCTAGCCACTAGGCTACCCAAAACAGGAACTCTTTGGTCACCCCACTGGCTTTCGTGATAGTAAAAGTCTTTTTCTTTAAACTATATTTACTCTATTCACTGTGGGTGAGAACAGAATTAGACTCTGACAGAATGAAAGAGTGAACCAGTTTTTGCGGGGCACCTCTGGTACCCCTGGACTCTCAGTACAGATTTGGCTCAGTTTGCATTGCTACATGATGTATCCTGGGAAAGTTTATAGGATTTCTGCATTCTTGGTGTAAAGAACATCTGCAGTTCATCAGTCTGCTAGTCTGCTGGAGGGTGGGGTGGGGCAGTAACCTTGGTGTTCCGTGCATTCACCAGCAGCATGAGTTGGGTCATTTGTACTCAGAGGCTTTCCCATAGTCCAGTCACTGCCAAAGAATATAGCTCCTCGATCTCCCCTGAGTTACAGGCAACTTACACGGTATTTGTTAGGATAGTACAGATGCTGCAAGGTGCAAAGCTATGTCTTTACAGCTTCATTAAAGCTAGTATTTCTCCATGATAAAAATAACTCACGATTTAGTCATAACCTCTGATTTCCTTTGTAAGCATCTGCTCAGCTTAATTCCCTCACTTCTCAGACTTCATTGTCCCTCTAAACTTCAGTGAGATCCAAACCTTGCGCACATGGCCAAGAGCTATTTTGGGCACTAGTGAATAGCTACATCATCATTGATTTCAGCAGTTTCACCTCTTCTGGGATATTTCAGTGCCCGTACATTGTCACTGCAATCTCAGGTGAAATTATATTTATTTCCCAGTAAGAAAAAGAGATCACAAAATCCAATCCTGCCACTTCTCTGTCTCAGTGTTCAGAAGCCCCCTTTCCCGATGTAGTAAGTCGCTCACTCTTTTCAGATAGGTATTAGATTCTAAAAAAGAATGGAATGCATGAGGTAATAGTTGGACATAATAATCACTAGCTCTTTTCTAACAGTGAAACTTCTACAGTTGATCCTAAAGTTTCAGTCTAACATGAAAAGCAGTAAGACGGTATTTTAGATCTCAGCTATGGGTGCATGCACTTTGTGCCTGAGTGACAATTTGGTTTGCAGCTTTGGGGAATATCTGAAATAGTATGTATGTCTCCGTACATTTCTGTAATCAGCAGACTACATCCCACGAAAATGTGGGTGTGACCCCCACCCAGAAGCCAGAGCCCTCTCAGAACTTTCAGACACCCCTTTCCCAGCGCGGCGGGACAGCTGCCTGGAGTCAGGAACGGAGACCCTTGCGGTGGCTGGCGGCTCCGTCAAAACTACACTACCCAGAAGGCAGTGCGCCGCACTGGGCCAATGAGGGCTCAAGGAGAGAGAACTTCCTCCCTGAGGCCAGCATGTAGGCGGGCCTTCCGGCGTTGGCCTCCAGCGACATCTTGTAAACTTGGTTCTGTCCAGCGCTCGCAAGTGCGGTTAGCTGGGACCGCCCGCGGTAACGGAGCAGGGCCGCGCGGCCCCGGCTGCTCGCAGGCTCAGCGTGGCTGTCGCCTGGGCGGAGCACTGCGGTGCCACGGTCGCCGTGGCGGTTCCCATCCAGGTAAATGCGTGTCTCTGGGCCCTCACCCAGTTCTTATTCTGCGTTAAAATGTCATGTTTTTGTTCTCACGTGGGTCCGGTTTACCTTGGTCTTCCCAACTCTGGAATGTGACATGTGCGAGGAGAACTGCACAGAACGTACGTGTGCAGCTGAATAGGCAGCTGTAAAATTAATACCTGTCGTTAGTGCTGTTAACCTGTTATTTTACCACCGAAAATGGGTTTGTTTGGGTTTCTTCGGGAGTAGTCTCATTCCTGACCAGTTATTAGGACCAAACTAAACTACTACAAGGTACAGGAAGCGATGAGCGTATCTTTGGCACAGGAAGAACCAGAGTCAGAAGGAATCCAATGGAAGGGTCAGAAATACACTGAGACATAAACATGGACATTATTTATCCCTTATTCTTCCCGTTCGTTGGACTGGGGGAAGCTCCTCCAGCGCAACGCGACCCTAACCGGCTCTGTCCTCCCGCCCGCCCCCCCCCCCGCCCCCCCGCTCCGGGGAAGACCAGGTGCACCTGCTGTGGGCACAACTCCTGAACACTTTGTGCCTTCTTTTATTTATTTTTGCCATTTTTATTTTTTTACAAATAATTTATTGTCAAGTTGGTCTGCCTTTTATAAATGCTGGGCTTCTCCCCTTCGGTTTCCTCTATAGCTGAAAATACTGCGTTTCGATTTTTTGTCTCTACCCGTGATGGGATGTAAACTAACACGGCCCTGCTCTTCCTCCAGGTTCTGCTTTCAGCAGAAGCACCTATGGACCCTGCACTGGTGAGTGTCAGGTGTCCTGGAACTCAGCTGCCACCCCTCCTGCCCTTGGTGTCTAGAGCCTCTAGCTAAGCCCTCAGTCCAGGTCAGAGGTGATATGCACAGAGATTCCACCTTGGGCAAGCAACAGGGTGAGTGTGACAGGGCGTCCGAGGTTTAGGAGCCTCGGATTTGGAGGAGAGACCGAGATGAGAGAGTTGGGGGAGCGTTCTAGGTCTCCTACGTCTCTGTTAGGTCTGCTGAGGACAGAGAACAGGGAGGCTAGAGTCAGGCCTGGGGAGGTAGCCTGAGCTGCGGTTCTGTTCCGGGAGTGCTGGTCAGGCCCCCACCCACCCCCCAACCCCCTCATTGGGCGGAGGAGCAAAGCAGCTGGCTCAGATCCTCAGCAGCTGCCCCTGGCTAGACAGCACCCCAGAGTGGGGGAGAGGGAGACAAGGAGATTAATGAGGCTCATGCAGTGTTCTAGATCGGTCAGTACTGGTTGTAGCTGGGCGAAGTGGGAGAAGCATGTGGCTACTGGATTTGTCGTTAAAAGTAGGGCTGACCAGGCGCACCTGCGTGGGTCAGTTGGTTAAGTGTCTGACTTCAGTCAGGTTATGATTTCATGGTTCATGGGTTTACACTCGGTGCTAACATCTTAGAGCCTGGAGCTGCTTGCAGTTCTGTGCCTCCCTCTCTCTGCCCCTCCCCCACTTGCACACACGTGTCTTCTCTCTCCAAACTAAACATTTAAAAAATGTTTTTAAAGTAGAGTGGGCAAGGGGAAGAGACAGCCTGGCACCCCAGGGCTGAGCAGCTTTTCTAATGTGGAGGGGTCACAGGAGACTCCATGTTTTTTTGTAGAAGTAGCTTTTGGTTAAGAATATCACAAATTCTGTTTTGGCCATGTTGATCCTCAGATGTTTCAGAGACTTCCAAGTAGAGGTGACCAGTGGACAGCTGGTCACACACCTCTCAGGACATCCACAGCCCCACATCTGGTGTGCGTGTCCAGGCAGAGCTCTGGATCTGATACAGGTCCTAGCGGGATTGCCCTGGGGGGCCAAGGGGGAGAGCTGTAGACAGCAGATGGACACAGCTGGAGAGCAGCTGTACGCAGAATGTAGAGGGAGGTCTGGGGAGGGAAAGTCCCGCAGGTGGTGGCCGGAGCTTCCCGGGTACGACCGTGAGAGCAGAGCAGTAATGGAGGTGAACTGGTACTGCTGCCCCCTTCTGTGCACCCACCCAGGCCCTGTGGTTCTCTCAGGTCATCAGGTTAACTTACACAGAGTTACCAGGACGTAACATACCCTAGAAGCAGCATGGGACCCAGGGGATTTAGACCTGCATGTGATCTAAACCAGCAACAAGGCCCGGTGGGGAAGGCTCTTCCATTGGAGGTTGGGATCTATTATCGCACTTGCCCAGGGTCATGCACAGACTGAGGTCAGCGGTGGGGGTGAGATGTGTCACTGGGGTGTGTGAGTAGGGGCTTGAGAGACAGTGTTAGGCCGCAGCTGCTTATGTCTGGGAGGCAGGATGCTGGGGCCCCTCAGGTGTCTTGCAGCAAAGGGACAGGAGTCTTGCATCTCAGGGGGCGGATGAGAAGGGAGTGAGTGAATACGGGGGCTGGGGTTCGGGGCAGTATGGGGTCCTCCAGGGAGAGGCTGCTTATGGACACAACTGTCCCCATATTCACAGGGCTCCATGACCTTTGAGGACGTGGCCGTGTACTTTTCCCAGGAGGAGTGGAGGCTACTGGACGAGGCTCAGAGACACCTGTACCGGGATGTGATGCTGGAGGTCTTTGCACTTGTTGCCTCATTGGGTAAGGCCCTGCCCCCACCCCCAGCGCCCCGGGCTGGTCCCTGGCTTTCCTGTTTGTTCTGGGCCCAGAGACTACACCTCCTTTCATAAGCAGCCCCCACACCAGCTGATCAGGACGGCGTTCGGTACAGGTTTCTGTTTGCTGCGGTTGGTTTGAGGCTGGCCGCCTTGGGCCTGTGCTGACCACTTAGCCCTCCCGGGTTTGCCTTAAGGACTCGCATCTTCTAGGTCCCTTATCATCCAGCCAGAGCTGGGAGAACACTGGGCACATGACCGAGTGGGTAGGACTCCAAGTTGGCAGCAGGGAGAGGATGTGAAGTGGCTGGGAGCGACAGGAACGTGGCCCGGGCTCACAGCACTGCTGGCCCGCAGTCCGCGGCTCTCCTGCCTCTCCCCTCACCTGCCTCTCCCCTGTCACCGGGGCCTCCACAGATCAGCGCTCCTTCTGGGATGCTCGCCGACCGCGGCCTACACTGCATGTGTCCCGAGGTCCATCTGTGCCCATTAAAAAAATTTTTTTCTAACGTTTATTTTTGAGAGACAGAGTGAGCAGAGGAGGAGCAGAGAGGGAGGGAGACACAGAATTCGAGGCAGCTCCAGGCCCCCAGCTGTCAAGAGCCCAGTGCAGGGCTCAGACCCGTGAAATGCGAGATCAGGACCTGAGCCACTCAGGCGCCCCTCCCTTATCCTTAAGATAATACTTGAACACCAGTAGCCAAGGCCCAGGTGACAACACTCCCCGGAGAAGTGGGTTGTGGACCTCGCCTCTCCTCCCTGCACTGCATGCCACCCTCGTGTGTCCTCCCTGCCGTGTGAAGCAGCCCTTTCCCTCAAACTGCCTCCTCCCCGTTCAGGCTGTTGGCGCGGAGCAGGGCACGAGGAGGCACCTTCTGGGCAGAGAGTGTGTGTAGGAGCGTCGCACCCCAGTATGGCGAAGGCAGATCTGTCCCTCCAGGAGGCCCTCGCCCCGGAGGTGTGCGGCCTGGGCTCTGCAGGGGGTTTGCATCCAGCCGAGAGCCTGGCCACAAACCCTGGGCAGGAACCGCGGGGGACACCTGAGCCACGCCAGAAGCAGCACAGTCGAGAGAGACACTGGAGGAGGAACACAAAGAGCCGGGCCATCCCCACCGTGTCACGGACGCCCAGCCCTGCGGGCCCAGGCCGCCTCCAGTGCCAGCTCACTCACAGTGGGGGGACACCCCCTGGGGACAAGAGCTGCACGGAGCCCCTCCACGGACAGCGGCAGTACCAGTGCGGCGACTGTGGGAAAGCCTTCTGCCGGAAATACAGACTTGCGCAGCACCAGAGAGTCCACACTGGGGAGAGGCCGTACGAGTGCAGCGAGTGTGGGAAAACCTTCAGCTACAAACACATACTTGTCCAGCACCGCCGAGTGCACACTGGGGAGAGGCCCTATGAGTGCAGCGTGTGTGGGAAGGCCTTCAGTAACAAACCCACACTCGTCCGGCACCAGCGAATCCACACTGGGGAGAGGCCTTACGAGTGCAGCGACTGTGGGAAGTTCTTCAGCCAAAGCTCCAGCCTGAGTGAACATCAGAGGATTCACACGGGGGCACGGCCTTACAAATGTGGCGAGTGTGGAAAATTCTTCACCTCCAACTCCAACCTAATTAAACACCGGAGAGTCCACACGGGAACAAGGCCTTATGAGTGCAGCGAATGTGGGAAATTCTTTAACCAAAGTCCCAGCCTCATTAAACACCAGAGAATTCACACTGGGGAAAAGCCTTATGAATGTAGCGAATGTGGGAAACTCTTTAGCCAAAGCTCCACCCTCATTAAGCACCAGAGAGTTCACAGCGGAGCGAGGCCTTACAAGTGCAATGAATGTGGGAAACTTTTCAGCCAAAGCTTTGGCCTCACTCAACACCAGAGAGTCCACACAGGAGAAAAGCCCTACGAGTGCCGTGACTGTGGGGAATCCTTTAGCCACAGCACACACCTTACTCAGCACCGGAGAGTTCATGCTGCAGAGAGCCCTCCCGCGGCCAGGAGCCGTGGCGAACTCTTCAGCCGCGGGGCCGCGCTCACAGACCACCAGACGCTCCACGGCCCAGCTAGACCTCACAAGTGCACTGAATGCGGGAAAGCCTTCAGCCGCAGGTCTAACCTCGTCCGACACCAGAAGGTTCACAAGGGAGAAAGGCCTTAGAATGAGCAGGGTTTGCACCCTGTAGACAGCGCTCCCCCCACCCGCCCCCCCGAGCATGTGGGGGTGGGGCATAGGGGGTTAGGCTGTATTATTCTAACCTGTCCAAGACCCTCATCCTGTTGGTCACTGCCAGTTTCTTCCAACTGTGCCCCAAACTCTGTGCTCCTGTGTGGATGGAAGCTGTCACTCTGGTTTTGGGCACAACGCCTCCTAGGATGGAGTGCAGCGCCGCACTTTTTGTGGGACTAACCTTGTGACCTGGATGTCCAGGTTTGTGTCTGGATCCGGAGGTTTCCCTGAGAGGAGCCACATGGGTTGCTTTTTGTTTGTTTGTTTTATTTATTTCTAGGAGAGAGAGAGGAGCGGGGGGAGTCACAGACTGAAACAGGCTCCAGGCTCCGAGCTGGCAGTCAGCACAGAGGCCGACGCGGGGCTCGAACCCACGAACTGCGAGATCATGACCTAAGCGAAAATCAGACGCTTAACTGACTAAGCCACCCAGGCGCCCCCACGTGGGTTGTTTTTTAAAAAAAAAATTTGTTAATTTTTTTTTTTTTTTTGAGAGAGAGAGCATGAGTGGAGGAGGGGCAGAGAGAGAGAGGGAGACACAGAATCAAAAGCAGGCTCCAAGCTGTCAGCACAGAACCCAATGCAGGGGCTCGAACTCACAAATCCCAAGATCGTAACCTGAGCTGAAGTCAGCTGAAAGAACCCCCTCTTTCTCACCTGGGATGTCGCAGCGCCTCAGGGTGGTCGAGGAGCAGTGCTCTAGGTCCCAACAGAGAGCTGTGTGCCATCATGTCTGGTGGGTGGGTGTCATGGACTCCAGGCATCAGTTAGGAACCATCTGTGGTACAAAAACACTTGGTGCAATGCGGGGTGGAGGGGGGACCAGTAAACTGGAGGGGCTGTGATGCCTACACCAGGGTCCTGGGGCTACGGCCTTGCAGACATTGTGAGACCTCTAGAACTGCCTGTGCTCAGCATGCAATATACTTCACATGTGCTTGTAAACCGTTGGCACTTTTTTATGTACTTTTTAATGTACATGTGCTCACAGAATAACCTCTGCCGGGGCTCCCAGGCTGACTGTTCACTTTTGTTTGTGTTCTCTAGAATTTTACGTAGTTGGAATCTTCGTGTGGCTACTTTTTATGGGTATGTAACTCAACAGTGCATAATTACTTTGACAGTTGCCATCAAATAGTTGGATTTTTCTTAACAACTGGAGGACACCACCATCAGGCACTCCTCCACTGTCTAACAAATGGATGCGTGGGGCTGGGGAGTCGTTTCCAGCTGAACTGTCACGACGCACAGTTGTCCAAATGTAGATCTCCGTACCCCTAGCAGTGTGAGGCCTGCGCCCCAGTGAGCTGAAACGGTCGCTCCGAGTTCTGCAAGTGTCCTCACCTGTAGAAGCGTGGTCAGCTCTGTGCAGTCCTTCTCCACACTAGCGGTTTTCCAGGGTGTGTAGTGTTACTTCCCCCTGCGAACTGCTTGCCACCTGGACGTGAGTCAGTATCTACCAAGTCTACTGGCTGTGAGTGCTGAAGAAGAGAAAAGTAAAGCATCGGGTCCTTGCTGGTGCAATAAAAATGTCAACACTGTTCCTTACATGTGTCTCCTCAATTATTGGTGCTGGTGCCCACGTGATGGCCACATACACCCTGCACTGGAAGGTGTAAATTCCTTGCGTTAAAATGAGCATCAGTCCCACAGTGTGTGTAATCTTTCCCCATCTCTAGCTGTGAACGTGCACGGAGATTTTAACGTGCACCAACCAAAATGCCTTTGAGAGGAAAGGTGGTAAAGGTCTATTTTTCCCCTGCAATACTTACTGTATATGAATAGGAAGGGACAAGTTTTAAATCAGTTTAAACTTCAACATCAGTTAAGTTCTCCACCTTCCACAGTGCTGCCTCATAAACAATGCTTTGTCTACTTGCAGCCTTGGGCACCTATCACATTGTTTGTGCTAAATGTGACTTACAGGGGGTGGGGAACAGCTCAGGCCCTGTCAAGCCCCACAAGGAGACCAGTAAACAACCACAAAAAAAAAAACCCAGAGAGAACTGAGGCACCTGGGGGGCTCCGTTGGTTAAGCGTCCCACTTTGTCTCAGATCACAATCTCCCAGCCTGTGAGTTAGAGCCTCGCATCAGGCTCTGTGCTGACAGCTTAGAGCCTGGAGCCTGCTTTGGATTCTCTGTCTCAAATAAAGAACAGTTTTTTTTAAAACCCAGAGAATTAAAAATTTTGCCAGAAATACTTCATTGGCCTTACACAGAGGGATTGGTCCTGTGACCGTATGTGGGAAAGGGCAACTTAAGACTGTCAGACGGACTCTGCATGCTGTGCTTTTTGACCCTTTACTGAATTGTCACGTACCCTTCAGTGTAACACAAAAATAGCTTCCTTGGGTTGCAGAAGTCCTTTTCTAGTAGTGAATCACTGAACCCCAGGCATCTTGGGGAACATAACCTAAATCTGTAACTGCACCTGAAATACAGATGAGGACACATTACTCTGCTTATACTTCTGAAACCAAACTGTTCCCATGCCTTAAAAACCCTTGAAGCCCAAGACTCCTTTTTCCTCTTGCCACACACCTCATTTATGGGAGATATTCAGGTTACATGCAAAATATTCATTATTCTACTCAACAATATTTAAAACTCAATTATATAAACATATAATTATATGTTATAATCACATATTTTGGGGAAAAAACTGTATCTGAACCTTAATCAACTTTCCATACTTCTCTTTCTTGGATATTTTCCATCCGCCCCCACCTCCACCCACAGCCAGTTTACATAGATGGATGTTGACGTATACCCTATCCCCATGTCCTTGAATTCTTTTTTTTTTTTTTTTTAATATTTTTTATTTATTTCTAGGAGAGAGAGGGAGAGACAGCGTGAGCAAGGGAGGGTCAGAGAGAGGGAGTCACAGACTGAAACAGGCTCCAGGCTCTGAGCTGGCAGTCAGCACAGAGCCCGACGCGGGGCCCGAACCCACGAACCGCGAGATCATGACCTAAGCGACAGTCGGACGCTTAACCGACTAAGCCACCCAGGCGCCCCCCACGTCCTTGAATTCTTAAGATCAGAATAACATTTTTAAAAATGCATTTCAAGGGGCAACACCTGGGTGGCTCAAGTCATAGTAAGCGTCAGGCTCTTGACTGCAGCTCAGGTCACATGGTCTCATGGCTCAGGAGTTTAAACCCCCAACAGCCGGCCCTGCGCTGACAGTGCCGAGCCTTCTTGGATTTTTTTCTCTCTGCCCCTCCCTCCCTGCAACTGGTGCTCTCCCCCTCAAAATAAACAAAGCAAACCAAAAGAAAATGAAACAAATGCATTTCATGATTTCATCACACCCAAACATGTATAAAACTGTATTGAGTCTCTACATATAAGCTACTGAAAACCGTTACTGCGGATCTTTAGTGGTATAAAACCTACACCTTCTTAACTAGTCTTACTGGTTCCAAAGGTTAGAACGGTCTGTTTAACAGAAGGATAAAGCTCAACATCTGTCCCTAGGGGGCCACGGGCCTGGACACAGACACAGGCCTTAGGGTTGAATGCTCATCCTCTACCTTTTCCCCAAGACCTTAAAAGCCTCCTTTCCCGCTCATTGAACAAAGATCACTTCTGCACTTACCTTCAAAGGTAGCACGTGCAGCCACGGAGCACTTTGCTCTCCAGTCATCACACCGAACATCCTTGTAGAGTAGCAATCTCCCTGAGGCCTCTTCCTCCAACTTCTAGAAAGAAGGACACCTCTCCACTTACTTCCCCTGGCACCAGGAGATATAAACCAAGGCTCATCCCCTCTTAAAAAAACAAAAAAAACCCCACATATTTGCAAAATTTTGGAGTGTAAAAGGGAACACTCACCTGGTCAGGGAATGAGGACACATCTTCCAGGGGCCTTTGAAGAGCCGCCACCAACCCTCAGTGTTTTTAGCTTTCTCCATTTCTCAAACAAGGTCTTAAAAAAAAACAAAAAACCATTCATTCCATTCCAATCAGGATTGCAAAAAACAACCCGTTTCATCCCCAGCCGTAAGTAATAGTATGCCTCACACATCTTTTTAAGCCTATTTTTTTTTTTAAAACTTGGATATTCTAATTTGAGGTTACTGTCAACTTACCTAGGATTTCCCCCGTTCTAAACCTTGCTTACCGCAACTCTGTTGACAGAGTGCTAACCCTGGGGGGTCTCTGCCACACCAGAAACTGCAACAGACGCGAAGACAATAAATACACAGCAGGGACTGTAAAGGCAGAAAGTAAGCTCACTAGGAGCAGCCTATTGACCAATAAGCATTGCCCAGCCTTCTCAAGATCACAAGCAAAACCTGGGTCTTCCCAGTGAGACACCCCCCTCCCGCCCACGCACCCGCCCACGTTCTACAAGGTTTAACCCTAAGTATGCACCTGGTAACGTGGGTCCCGCCCGGGGTCTTCATCTCCTCACCCTATCCAAAGGAATAGAACTGTTCCAGGGTCTGCAACCGGGCAAGTTACAACCCAGAGCCAGACGCCTACACGGACCTCTGCCCAGAGACTGGGCCAGAGAGCGGGGCGTCACCGCGGAGGCTTAGCTTTCGTGGAAATAACGCCAGGCTTTGAGCAGAGCTCTCCCGGCTGGGGTGTTCATTCCTTAGTGGCTGGTCGGCTCGTTGCTCCCACCGCCTTCTGGTCTCCAGACGCCTGGAGCAAAGACCGCAAAGGCCAAAGCGCGGGGTTTTCCCAGCAAACGAGCTCCCTGGCGGGGTGGGCGAGCTGGGCGCGCGCGAGCAGGCACCGCGTCTGCACTTCCCGGGCTGAGGGCCAGCGAGGACCACCGCCCTCCTGTGGGACGACCATCCACCCACCGTCCACCGCCAGGAGGGCGGGGAGCACAAAGCGGCAGAAGAGCCCCTCCCAACCCCCAGGGAGCCCCAGGCGCGCACCCTGAAGCACTTCCCTGGGCTACTGGTCACCGAGCGCGCAGGGGGGGTGGCGGGGTGCAGCCGAGGGCCAGAAGTTCGCCGACTTACCGAGGAGGATTGGGGCGCCTGGGTGGCCGCCCAGTCGGTTAAGCGTCCAAACTTCGGCTCAGGTCATGATCTCAACATTCGTGAGTTCGAGGGCTGCATCGCGAACAGCTCAGAGCCTCGAGCCTCCCGCTCTGCCGCGGGGTCTCTCTGCCGCTCGTCTGCTTCTTGGTCTAGGTGTGTCTTCCTCAAAAATAAACCTGACAAACGTTAAAAAAAAAAAAAAAAAAGTGTCGAGGACCAACGCGGCGTGCAACTCACTCCGCCGCCCACTGCAGCCAGGGGGACCCCGGCTTCCAGCTGCAGGCGTTTTCATTGGCAGGGCGAGCTGACCGGGCCCCGTCGCTACCACGCTCCAGGCGAGGAGCTTTTGGGCTGCGACCCCGCGCCGCTCACCGCACCCCGCGCCCCTCACCACCGACGGCACGGGGCTCGGGCGGGAAGCGGGACACAAGGCTCAGGGCCGTGGATGGAGGGAAGGCACCACGGGGGCGAAGGGGGCCCGCGCGGAAGCCAAGGCGGGACCCACGACACGCACCGTGGGAGAGGGACGCCGCGGGCGGCGGGGACGGGGCGGCGGAGGGCGCGTAGGGCGCAGAGCATCCCCAGCGCGGTGACAGCCCAGAGCCGCGTGGAGCTGCCGCCGCTCTCACCAGTGACCCCGCGGGTTCACCTGCCGAAGCCGTAGGTTCCACTCCCGGCGCTGCACCGCCACGCGCCCCGGAGACGCACAGACTCGGTTTACCCCGAAGCTGACCCCGCACTGCCAACCGCGTCGTCAGGGGGTATCGTGCAGTAGACCCGGCAGAGCACGGCTTCAGCTCCTCTAAGCGCTGACCTCGGAAAACCTCCTTGCGCACACGTCCAAGAAGCCCGCCTCCTCCCCATCCACCCCTCGTCAGCCATGGCCTCAGCCCGCGCCCGCACGCACCACAGCCGCGAGCGGAGCGTGGACACGGGGGGGGGGGGGCCCCACAGCGGGCCTGGTGGGCGCGGCCCCAGGGCGGCGGGCATGAGCGAGCAGGGGCGGCGAGGGGTCCGGGGACATCTCGGCTCCGAGGTGGCCGTCCGGAGAGGGCACCGCGGGCACCCAGAGCGCCCACGGGCCTTCGGTGACCCCTGCCCCCGTCGAGGGCTAACTCCCACAGCCGCCGCCCGGAACGCCGCCAACGACGGGTCCGACAGGGCCGACCCCGCCCCGGAACTGGCTCCGGACGCAGGCGGGGCTGCCCGCTCCTGCGTCTGCGCAGCAGAAGACCGGCGTCAACGGGAAGCGCACGCAGGGAACAGCAGGTCCGCTCGGCGCGGAGGGCGCATCGCAGCACGGAAACGGGGGAGGAAACCAGTCGAATGCAGTTGCCGGGGAAAGGCGCACAGAACCCGGAAACCTGGACATGAACCAGACTGGGCGTCCTCGAGTGTCCCGCGCCCCGGCCGCCGCCGTACAGCCGCCTTCCGCCCAGCTCAGTTCTGGGGCCACGTCTAGGAAGCGCCCGCAGCGAGGTCGGGGGTCAGGGGCGGCCGAGAGGGACCCACGGGGGCCAGGAGTGCCGGAGACGGGGCCCTTTGGCGTCGGAAAGGAGAGCTGCACGCGCGCCCCGCGCCCATCGCCGGTCGGCCTGGGAGCGCGCGCTGCTCCGGGATATCCGTGGTTTACGGCGCATGGACTCCGACACAAGCCCAGAAACGACTGGCTTTCAGACGTCTCCACCGACAACGCCGAACAAACCACTTGAAGCGCCGCTGGCGACGCATCGCAGGCTCGAACCACCACCCTCGCCGTCGGGCGTGCACCCCGCGGGGGGTCCCCGGGGTCCCGGCACGCGGCGGCGTCTCCCCGCCCCACTCGACCCCCGCCACACCCCGGCCCCTCCGGTGCACTGTCGGGGGTGGGGGAAGGGAGGGGGCTTAGGAGCCAATGCGAATCCGCACTTAGGCGTTGACCCCCAGTGGTCTGGGGTCGCCGCAGCGGCCCCGGGGATCGCACAGCGCGGCGGGGTGAGCCGCTTACGAAGCGACGGAGGAGGAACGAGTGTCTGCGCCCCGGCGGGGTCCGCACCCCCGCTGCGCCCCCTCACCCGCCGCAGGGAGAGGCTGGCGTGTGGGAGGAACAGCTCCCCGCACCGCGAACGTCCGTCTTCGGTCTGGTTGGAGCCGGACCCAGGGCGGGAGAGAGCGCTCACCACGGAGATGCGCTCGAGAAGCTCCAAGGGGAGCCGGCAGGGTCAACACCCCTGGGCCTGCTTTGCCGCCCCCCCCCCCCCCATCGGCCTTGGCCATAGCCTGGTCCCTGCGGCGGGGGTGGGGGGAGGCACCCGGGCCGGAGGACGCGCGCTGCCCTCGGGCGCTGGGGGATTGAAGCGGCTCGAAGTCGCGGCTCGCGGGTGCACGGTCACTGCTTTCTGCCCCGAAGTTAGTTACAAGGCGAACGGAATTTGCGCCGATCCGCCCGCAGGCACGGGGGGTGGAGCGGTGCCAATTTCGAGTGAGAGCATTACGGGCCCCAAGCAAGGAATCTACGGATCTGGAGCCTCCCCGGTTCGACCACCGGTCCCCGGCGCGGTTCCATCGCCGCCAGCCGCGGGGCACCGGGGCCACCGGACGCCGCCGAGGTAGCGTCTGCTCGGGCGCCCGGAACGTGCGGGGGCCGCTGCGGGCGGGCAGCGTCCGCCCTCCCGTTTGTCCGCGCGCGGCGGTCCTACCGGCGGCAGATGGGGGCGTGGAAGAAGCTTCCGTGTTGGCGCCTCCGAACGCCGAGCCCCGGGGGGACCTCGCGCAGGCCTCGGGCACCTTATCCCCGCCACCTCGCACGCTCCGTGCCGGTCCTCACCTCCGGAGCAGACCCCGGAAACACCAGCGCAGGACCCCACGCAGGGACCAGTGCCGCGGGGGTGGGGGCGCGGCCGGTGCACCCGCGGCTCTCGGTTGGGATTTGGGAGAACTCAAGCGGAGGCGCCTCCGACCACCGGAGCCCACGGAGCGGCGGCCGGGCCTTGGGCACCTTACCGGCCTCCCCGCAGGCCCCGGGCCGGTCTGCTGCTCCGAAGCGGGCCGGCATCTGGGCGCGGGGCACCCTCTCTCGTTCCCCCGCGGGGCCGCACTCGGTTCCCGCAGGCGGAGACGGTCCACCCCCCGGGAGGGCCTACGAGCCGCTCCCCAATAGAAGTGCGGAGCCAGTCTCCAGCGAACGGATGCGCGGCGACGCGCCGGCGAGACCGGGACAATCCTGGCCAGCGTCGCCGGCCTCCTGGATCTCTGCGTCGGGTACTGCGGCCGAATCCCACCCCTGTCGGTTTCGCCGGAGCTCCGGAGGGAGGAAAGTCTAAGAGGGGCCACCCGACGGCGAACGTCAGCGGACGGATCTGGATCTCTGGCCGTCGAGGGAGCATTGCCTGCCGCCTGGACGCCCAAGCTCCTCCCGCCGCACCTGAGACTCACAAACTGTACGGCGGGAGGGGCGCCTGGGCGGCTCAGTCGGTTGAGCGTCCGACTTGGGCTCAGGTCATTATCTCAGTGCGTGGGTTCGAGCCCCGCGTTGGACTCTGTGCTGACAGCTCAGAGCCTGGAGCCTGCCTTTGGGTTCTGTGTCTCCTTTTTCTCTCTGACTCTCCCCTGCTCACGCGCTCTCTCGCTCTCTCTCTCATACACACACAAATAAATAAAACATTTTAAAAAATAGATTTTAAAAACAAACTGTGCAACGTGAGATATTGCCTCCAGTCAAGTAGGCTCCTTCCCACCTACCTCCTTGCGGCCGCTGCGTCTTGGCGGAGCCCCAGCTCCTCTCTTCCTGCTTCCGGACCCAGCATGTGCCTGGCTTCGTGCGCCCTGCAAGGCGTGGTCGTGCCCCTCATTTCCAGGGGGGCTGCGAGTAATAAGAGGTTTTTAAAGGCATTAGCCTTTCTTGTCGTCACTCAGTCACCTCCATCAATTAAAATCCCGCGGGCACATTTTTACACACTGGTAAAGCTGGCGAGAAGCTTAATTAGCTGTTCAGAAGATTTGCCATTAGAAGTTCGCCAAGGGAAATGCTCTAAGGGCAGATTGGAAGAAAGTCTCTTCCCTTTTTTTGTGCCAATGAAAATTGGTTTTTTGTTTTCTAAATTTTAATGTGGATTCATTTGCTTTTGAGAGAGAGACGGAGAGAGAGAGCAAGCATCAGCGGGGGAGGGACAGAGGGAGGGAGGGAGACACAATCTGAAAAGGCTCCAAGCTCCAAGCTCTGAGCTGTCAGCGCAGAGCCTGATGAGGGGCTCAAAGTCATGAACTGTGAGATCCTGACCTGAGCCGAAGTCAGACGCTCGATCGACTGAGCCACCCAGGCGCACAGGCTTCCTCTTCGTAATTTGGTTTTACTCCTACTCACCTCTCTCTGTGTTTCTTGTAAAGTAGGTATTTGTGAGATGGGTACCTCAGGTCTACTCCAGGGGGACAGCTGTGCAATGTGACACTCCTGGAGATACATGGGAGTGTGACAAGTGTGAGATTATGACACACCTCAGCAGAACCCGGAAGCCCCTACACATACATCCTGGGGACGCTGTATGACAAGCGAGGCGCACTGACGCCGCTCAACGAGCCCACGCACACACGCCTTATACGTGCCCATGGCAGAAAAGACGTGCAATGGACAAGAGACACATGGTCAGCGCGCGCAGCTTGCACCAGGGGCTTGTGACAACAGAGGGAGGTGCCGACACGCCCTCACAGATATGAGGACACAAATGCACAGATACTCCGGGGAGACCTGTGAGACAGCCATGGCACAGGGACACCCAAAAGTCCGATGTGCGGATATACACGCACATCACACAATCCCCGTGGGCTGAGGGTGACAAGGTGATTTCCACGTGGCTTGGAGAGAACCACCCCCTCCCCCATCCTAGCCCCATCCCTGCAGGTCTGAGGATGCTCTGCTGGTGGTCAGAATGGGGAGCTGGGTGCACACCCTGGAGACTCACCCAGGCTTGAATCCCGAGTGTAAACACCGGAGGACATGGTGGGAGCAAATCAGCCCAAACGCCGATAGCAGAAAACCTAACTTGGAAATGCCCGCTAAGAAGGGCCAGGAGTCCCAGTGTGAAGATGGGAGGGGGCAGGAGCGGAGTCAGGGGGGCTACAGGCTCTGCTGGAGCGTTCAGGGGCAGGGAGTGGGCCTTAGTGGACCTAGAGTGGTTTGGGGAGAGGGAGGGAGGCATGTGGGTGGATTCTTAGCTACTGTTTGGATGATTTGGTTTTCCCCAGTGGCACGGAGAGAAGCCTGCAAGTCCTGATTCTTCCCTCCTCCTGGGGCTTCTCAGGGCCTTTACTCGTGAGCACACGGGTGCTTCTAAGCCTACCTCGGTTTTCTGGCGGTCACATCACAGCTACAAGCAAAATAAAACACTCGGGTGAATAAGGTCGCCCATAAACTCAGGAAAACAAACATGGAGGAGAAATCTTATTGCTCAATTTTATAAAAGTTTCTGTGAAGTGTTGTAAAGCACCTGGAATGTTCACAGGCAAACCACTGTGCATGGCTACAGCTATGCGTGGGCCTCACAGGTAGATGCTCTTATCATTGGGGTGCTTCTAAAGTCCTCCTGGGGCGCCTGGACGGCTCAGCTGGTTAAGTGTCTGACTCTTAGTTTTGGCTCAGATCATGATCGCACAGTTCCTGGGATTGGGCCCCACATTGGGCTGTGCACTGAGAGCGCAGAATCTGCTTGGGATTCCTTCTCTCCCTCTTTGTTCTTCCCTTGCTCTCTCTCAAAATAAAGACAAAAAAAGAAAGAAAGAAAAGAAAGAAAGAAAGAAAGAAAGAAAGAAAGAAAGAAAGAAAGAAAGAAAGAAAGAAAGAAAGAAAGAAAGAAAAGAAAGAAAGAAAAGGAAAGACTCCCATCTCTCCTCTCTCTTCAGGAATTACAAATCCCTAGATTTTTAAATCCCTGTGCCAGGAACCTGGGACAAAAAGCAGACATATTTACTACACTTTCTAGCTAATGTATATTAATTTACTTTTATAAATTGTTAAAACAACTTCACATTTCCAGAATCACTAGATTCTGGTAAATCTCACATTTTCAGGGATGCAATTTCCTAAAATTTTGTTATGAATTTTTTTGAATCTATGCTTACATAGATTCATAGTTTTCATTATTATTACCTGGCTTTGCTTTCAGAGCAATACTGATTTTATAGAATTAGCTGGGAAGTGTTGCAAGGAACCCTACCAAGTTTTTTAATGAATACATAATTAGCATTCTATCGAACTCCTCCAAAAAACAAAAACAATCAAAGGCAATGGTGTGTGAGAGAGGGGGGGAGTCAATTTGGAAAGAAAAAAAAAAAGAAATAGAAAGACCAGTACAACTAAGTGCTTTGAGAAGATAATAAAATTGGGCTGCCTGGGCGGTTTGGCTGGTTAAACATTATGACCTCCCCATTCACTGGTGGGATTGAGCCCTATGTTGGCCTCTTCCCTGACAGTGTGGGGCTTGCTTGGGGTTCTCTCTCCTCTTTGCCCCTCCCCTGATCTCTCTCTCTCTCTCTCTCAAAAAAAAAAGCATATAAAAAGAGATGATGATAAAACTGATAAACTTTGATCAAGAAAAAGAGAGGTATAGACATTACCGGTATCAGGTGTGAAAATTAATAAAAGGAAACCTCATTTAGAATGGAGACGGGTGACCAGCAGGGGGAGCTCTCATGCCTGCCACTAGTCAATTGCAGACCCAACAGGGACAGATTGACCTTGCAAGTGAATACTTCAGTACCCCCCAGGACCAAGTTAGATTTCTTTTTCTCCTCGCAACAGCCCAGCCAATGAGAGACAGCGACAAGTCAGCCAATGAGAAGCCACTATACTTACAACTCGCAGTTTACTCCAATGGGCTTTTAGTTTATAACAGCCGGGAGGCCTTCCCAACCTCCCCCTTCCTCTATAAAAAAAGAATTCCACATCTTTGTTTTCTAGATTCACCCATGGTTTTGCCGAAAGTTGCTTGTCCTGGATTGCAATTCTGAGCTATTCCCAAATAAACCCATTTTCTGCTGGTAAAATAACTGGCAGTTTTATTTTGAAGGCTAATAGGAATAAGAGAGGTGGCATCAGTTAAGATTCCACAGGTACTAAAATAACAAGAATAGTTTGAAAGGTTTGACTACTTAAATGGAACTCCTTGAATGACACAAATCACCGATGCTAACTCTAGGGAAAAAAGATAACTTCTCTTGATCTATATCCGCTATAAACACTAAATCTGTAGTTGTGAATCGTCCCATCAACTCTACAGGCCCGGTTAATTCCCTGTTGGAATTCTACAAAACAAGAAACAATACCAATTCTTCAAAAACTTTTGTTCCAGAAAGTTAAAAGTCAGGGAACACTTAACCAACCTAATGTGTAAAGCCAGCATTATGGGGGTACCAAGTAAACCCAGGCATCAGGGATAATTAGAGACTAACATTCCTTGTGAACATAGATGCAAAAATCTTTAAGAAAAACACAGCAAATAAATACAATATGTGAAAGAAAAATGTATGTCGTGACCAAAGGGGGCTCACCGTAGAAACGTAAGGTGTGTTTATTAGCTTTTGAAAATTAGTCCATTGTAATTCATTAAAAGACTAAAAATATAAAGAAAAAAAAAACTATGATTGTAGTAACCAACATGCAATAGACTCTCTCAGAAATCCCTACCTCCTTGTATTCTGTCTACTTTATACCAGGATTAGTCTGTATTACCTATGGAATAAGTCAGGAATGATAGCACATCACTTCTAGAAAAAGACTAATGAATGACAAAATAATTATGCAGAGTTAAATAAAGCCATATATGCAAGAGCAGATATTAAAGTGTTATCTATAGACATTTATTTTTCCATATACATAAAATTCTAGGAAATGAAATCTGCAGTCCCACAGCAAGATGGGGGGGTGCCTGGGAATGGGTAAGGAGAGGGACTGGAAGGCAAACCAGAAAACTTTGCATCACAGGTGCAAACGTGTTATCAAAAGTAATCGAACTGTATACTACAAATATGTACAGTGTATTGCAGAAAACGTAGGTTGATTGCTCTGACAGTGACTGTAGCCATACGAGACACAAATATGGTAATCCCAAGAATTTCCATAAACCCTCATATCAAAGCCATACTGATGGAAACATGTGGATATACCTTTCGAAGAGTCACAGTCCCTACAGATTGCTTCCAATTCCCTATTAATCAGTGTCCTGGTACCAATCAGGATTCCTACCTAGTCTTTTTAAGGGACAGGGACATCTTCCTACTAATAATAGATTTCAGGGGGATTGGCAGTTCCCAAGATGCCAAGTTCCCCTCAAGAAAATACGGGAACATGAAACATCCCTCTGGAACAAGGGAACCAATTCAGACTGCTGCCAGAAGCACCAGAGACGGACACGACCGCCTACTACCCAGAGTGACCTTGATCACACAAATAATCCTGGCATACAGGCCAAAGGATCAGGCCCACCAAGATGAGTATTCTTTCACAGGATGAGCAGTGACGCAAGTTAGGCTCAAACTAACATGAGAGCTGTTCTTTGGCATTCTGCTACCACCACTGGGACCCAATATTTGGAGTTCTCACAAAAGCTGTTCCTCCCTTCATGCTGGCAGAGCTCAATTCTGTTCTCAATACCAACCACAAAGTGAAGAGAATCCCCAAGATTGAATGAAGGTAGTTGAAAAACGAAGGTAGTGATTGCAAAAACAGAACGGTGTGAGACAGGCAATTCCCAAAGTAGGTGACTTGGAGGCCGGACAAATCCCTCGCAAGTGCAAAATGGGACTAACAAAAGTCCGTGAGAAACGGAAACCCTCTCTGCAAGCAGCCAGCACAGCAAAGCTGGCGAGCTTCTGACCAAAACTGGGTCATGTCCTTGCTTAAACCAGCCGGTGGAGGCTAAGGCAGGAAGGAGTGAGGATTTTTACTGGGCTCTAGCTACTGATGATTCCCTCTAGGAAAGGGAGGAGCAGCAGAGATCTGCCTATTAGAGCATTTTGGGGCGACTCGTGCACAATGTGGGGCTCTGTCGTTCCATACATGGGTGGTTTTTCTTCAGAGACAGTGGTGGGGACGGAATTCTGGCAAGGGTCCTGGGCAGGCTATACAGTACAACATTGCTCCAGAAAGCTTCCTACTCAGAACAGCTTCCCCAGGGTGGATGTTTAAACATATGAGGTTCAACTTCCAGCAGACAGCTACTCACGGAAGACTAATCTCAGAGCTGCTCTTTAGCGTCAGTTGCTATGTTGCACAAGGAAATGGTATACTCCCTGCGATCCTAAGGCCTGTCTCCAGTGTGAACTTTCCAATGTCGGATGAGGGAAGCTCTTTGCCTGAAGGCCTTCCCGCACTCACTGCATTTATATGGCCTTTCTCCAGTGTGAATTCTATGGTGCTGAACAAGTACATGTTTGTGGCTAAAAGCTTTTCCACAGTCGCTGCACACATAGGGCTTTTCACCATTGTGAACTCTCTGGTGTGCAATAAGGTCAGAGCTCTGGCTAAAGAACTTCCCGCATGCAATGCACTCATAGGGCCTTGCCCCAGTATGGACGCTCCAGTGTTTAATGAGTCTGTATTTGTGACCAAAGTATTTCCCACACTCGCTGCACTCGTAAGGCATTTCTCCAGTGTGAATGCTCTCATGCTGAACAAGTGTGGACTTGTGGCTGTAGGCTTTCCCACATTCACTGCACTTGTAAGGCCTTGCTCCAGTGTGGACCCTCTGGTGAACAATAAGGTTGGAGCTATGATTGAAAACTTTCCCACATATGCCGCACTCATATGGCATTTCTCCAGTGTGGATTCTCTGGTGCTGAGCAAGTATGGGTTTGCGGCTGAAGGTTTTCCCACATTCGCTGCACTCATAAGGCCTTTCTCCGGTGTGGACTCTCTGGTGTTGGACAAGTGAGTCTTTGCGGCTGAAGACCTTCCCGCATTCGCTGCACTCGTAATGCCTCTGTCCGCTGTGAAAGGCATCCACACATTTGGTGTTGCTGTTTGGCTTCCAATTACTATGAGGGGCATGGTGCTGAAAAAGGCTTGAGCTAGTTGGGAAGTCCTTATAACCCTTCCCTGTCATAAAAGGCATCTCCAATGCTTCCGCAGGGCAGCTGTTCACAAGTAAGGTGCCGCCCTCGTCCCCTCTGAAGGGTTCCCCTCCACTGTGCTGCTTCTGGTGCTGAGGGTCTGCCCTGAAGCAGAACTGTTTCCCACACGCCCCACACATGTATGGCTTCTGCCCAGGGTGTGCTCCCTGGTGCTTAGCCGGGTGCAAAATGTCTTTCAAGAGCGGGCCACACGTCTCACAGGGGCGGGCCTTCCGAGTAGAAGGTTCTGCCTTGGGAGTCCTGACCTGTGACACTCCCACGGAAATGTTCTGCTCAAAAGCTGTCTCCTGGCCCTCTGTTCCGTGCCAACGACCTGAAAGCAGACAAATGCTGGTGAAGCACAAACTGCTGGGAATGGCAGCCTCATTACAAGTGTGTGTCTAATAGTACTAAGATCAAGGTTACAGGACCGCTGTCACAAGAGGCCCAAGCTCAGGATGAGTAAAGGGCTGCTAAGCGGGAGTGGGCTCTAAAGATCAGAGGACAGAAGAGGCCCTGACTCGGAGGGAACACAAATGTGGGCTACAAGCCGGGAAGGGCGTTTCAGGGTTTCAGTGAGGCTTTGGCTGCTGGGGATGGTGACAGCTGTGTAGAAGGCACGTCTACCGAATAGCTACCATTGGTATTTACGGACTATCTGGGGGATGTGCACATCTCATAACACACTAAGTATAGACCAATGTTGGGGCGCAGTGCAGAGGAACAGGTGAGATACGGAGACAGAGGTGGGGAAGAGCCTGAAGCCAAAGACAAGTGTGTACACGGGAAAGTAAAGACAGAAAGAGTGTGGGAAGAGAGACTAGGGAATGACCAGAAGTCAGTCGGACACCACATCCTTCCCAGCTCCCACTCCCTAGGGCCACGCCCACCCTGAGCCTCTCTGGTCCCGGCGGGAGTGAGGTCTGCCCAGTCAGATACCCAGGGCTTGCTGCCCAGGTCCAGTGAGGCAACCTTGCGGGACGTGGGAGATTCATATCCTAAGGATTAGACAAGACAGGTAAACGGCCAGCACTGGTCTGGGTAACCCAGCACTCAGAGAAGAAAACTAAATATTATAAAAATAACCTCAAGGTAGGGTCTTACAGGAAGGGCTCAGTGGTCTCGGCAAGTAGTGACCCCACTGATCCTGGCAATTCCTGACGTGGGAAGGCTACTGGAAACAGAGGAAAGGGGGAAAGGGGTGGACACGGGGACCCAGGGGTGCCTGGACCTGGAGAGAGGTACCCAGGCAGGGAGAGGACAATGCCGGACACAGGGAGAGCCGGACTGCCCTTGGAGAACAGGGAGCGGTAGAGCCCGCTCCAGAACACCGGGCTGGGGGCGGGCGCCTTACCCAGCGAGGCAGTAAGTGCCAAGGTCTCCAGCATCACATCGCGGTACAGGAGCCGCTGAGCCTCATCAAGGAGCCCCCACTCCTCCCGGGAGAAGTACACGGCCACGTCCTCAAAGGTCACCTGTCCCTGCCACAGTGGGGAGAGCCAAGTCCATGAGCAGCCGCCCTCGCAAGGACACGCTTCTGGGCCCCCACAGATCTCCCTCTTGCATCCCTTCCTACCGAATTCCTTGACTCCAAGGCAGTAACAGGGACTGGAGGCCAAAGGCGTCTGCTCTCTCCCAAAGTCCCTCTGATTACTGTGTCCGCCCACAGCAACAAGACGCAGGTGGTCAGAGAGGCGCCATCGAAGCTCTGGGCCTGGTCTGGGGGGCTGCCCTCCCCTCCCCCACCTCCCGCCACCTACTGCTCTTACGGTTGCCACCATCGTGCTACCAGACAACCAAAGTTGGGCTCACATTTGTCCTCTAAGTCCCCAGTACCAGGGCTCAGGAGCCATCAGTCCACACTCCTTTCCACATGCACGTTATTCTTTTGGATCACACGGTCCCTCCCAACTCTGGCCCCCCACCCAGCCCCTGGCCTCCACCAGCACCGTCCTGGCTCACTAACCACACTGCTGTGGTGATGTGTGTATTCCTCCTCCTAAGCCCACCTACACACCATCGTCTCTTCCTACATGTCTCCATCCTAAAGCCCTCCACAGAAATCCAGGCCTGTCTCCGGCAGCTCACCTGACACCTCCACTCAACGTTCTCTGGAACATCTCAGACTCTTCTCGTGGCCACAAATAAAATCCCGAAATCCAATCTGAGTTACATGTATCACCGACTTGCCCATCTCGGGATGGAGCGTCGACCCTCTGGGTGATAAGACCTAAAGCCTTGGGATTCTCTTTCTCTCTCACTTCACGAAATCTGACCCAACACTTCCCCCATCCGCACAGCTCCCCGGTGGCCCATCCGTTACCACCGCTCACCTGAGTGCTGAACAGCTTCCTGCTGGTCCCCTCGTCGCTACCATAGCCCCCTGTCCCCTCACCACACAGGCTGTTCTCCACTTGGCATCCAGAGGGAGCCTCGTAAAACCTGGATCAGATCGCCTCCCTCCTCCGTTCCTACCCCAACGCTGTGCAACCCTCAGAGCAGAGGCCCAGCCTGTCAGTGGGCCATTTCAGCCCAGACTCCCGCCCACCTGCTCCTGATTTCCACCGCACATGGTGGAGACCTGTAGTTTCTTGAAACCTTACATCTCAGGCTCTCCTCCATGTTGGTTTCCTGTGCCAACATCGTTCTAACAGTTACTCCAAATGGGAATCCTCCATATAGCCCTGGGCGGGGACCTAAAACGCTGGGCTGAGGATTTCTCCAGGGTCCTCAGACTCATGAGCTGGGAGAGTATAGCAAAGTGCTGTCGGACACCACAGTCCCGGAGGCCGCGTGGACGGGGTGGGATCGGCGAGAGCACAGACACCCCTCCCTCACCTGTACCGGGTCCATAACTACTTCTGAATTCGTCGGAACCTGCGGGAAGAGGAGACTGTGAGAGACAAGAAAGCGCGAAGGAGTCCCGAAAGCTCATGGCTACCCCGTACCCCTGCCCCGCCACAAAGACCTGGCGCTGACTGTCCACGCTCTGTGCCTCAGTCCTCAAGGCCACCTCACAGCTGTTTAACCTCAGACTAGGTCTGTGTCTGTGCCTCACTGTCCTCATCATCTCCTGACCTCTACCCCAAGGCTCTTCCATAATCAGTCTATGAAATACTTTAAAAACCTTCAGGTCGCGTCCTTTCCCGGTTTAGAACCTTCCATGGCTCCCGGGGCGCTCAGAATGAAGACAGAGCCGCTCTGTCACTGCACGTGTCACTCTTCACTCTTTGATCCTTTCACACGCCAACCGCCCCAGGTTTCCCGCAAGCTCCGGCTGCGTGGCTCCTGCGAGCCTTCGCACATGCTGGGCCCTCCCCGCAGCGTCCTTCCACCCCCCCACACACCGGCTGACAGAAGAGGGACCCAGCCACTCCTGCTGTCTGGACCCAGGGGCCTGAGCTGCAGAGACCCGAGGCAGCCCTCATTCGAGCTCGGGTTCAGAAACGGAGGTCATGGCGGGGGGGAGGGGGGGGACCCGAGGGCGCAGCACCCACCTGCGCCGGGTCCATCACTGCGGCCACCGCCACCCGAACCTGCGGACCCGGGAAGGCGCGGGGAGAGGAGGTGTCATCAAAGATCGACGAGTGCGAGGACCCGACCCTCAAGGCCCGCCTCCGCTCAAGGGAGCCAGCGCCTCCTCCCGTGTTTTCCCTCTCGTGTCACCTCTCTGCGAGCTGGAGGCTGACCCGATGGGTTAATCCAAAAGCAAACAAAATGTCCGCTCCAGAAGGGAACGGAAGTCCCACCCTGACCTCACCCGCACCAACGGAAACGCCCCTTTCCCAGGCATTCATTGGCCCGGTGCCGCGAAGACTCCTGGGTAACGTAGTTTCAGTTTGCGCAGCAGCCACCCTGGAAAGGCGCATCCGCGCCACCTTCGAAGCAAAACACCAAGCAGCTGGCGGCGCTTAGAAATTGCGTCCGCTTGAGAACTAGGCGGAGCTTCGCTTTCCCTTAAAGGAGCCGTTATCATATTTCCGATGAGTGTAGTCCGGAACACGCAATGCTTGCAGGTATTATTCCAGGACTCTTTAGGCAGGAATTGTTACCAAAAACTCAAATGGAGACACTGTATGCTAATGTCACTCAGATTTTTATAGCTGCAAGCTAACTCTTGTAGCCTGCAGCTGTAGAGTTAGTTTTGCGAGCCTCAGCATTTTGGGTCAGAAACCAGAGAAGAAAAGACTCCAGACAGGGCCCGGATGTGGAGCAGGGAGAGGATGTCGGGCGCCGCTGAAGCACGTGGGCAATGTTGTGTCTCTGGTTGCCTCAGAAATCATTTTTTCCTGCCTGTATAATCAGTGATTGTGACGAACACAGGTCTAGTACGTTTTTACAAGATATTTCTTACTGTGTGTACAGAGATGTATTCAATTCCGTTTCGGTATCTTACAAATGTCTGAGAAAGGCGATTTGCCAGATGTCATCTGGCGGTTAGGAGGGCAACAAACACAGCTTCTGTGCATAAAATCAGCCACAGAACTAAACTTCTATACACAGTAAAAACATCTTTTAAGTCAGTGTGACATAAGAATATTTGAGGCCCAAAATGATTAACGGAAAACAAACCCGCAGACAAAATTCTAAGCAAAATATTCAAGTCCAAAGAAGGTTCATCTCGGGGCGCCTGGGTGGCTCAGTCGGTTAAGAGACCGACTTCATCTCGGTCTGTCAGTTCGACACCCGTGACCAGCTCTGTGCTGACAGCTTGGAACCCGGAGCCTGTTTTGGATGCTATGTCTCCCTCTCTCTCTCTCTCTCTCTCTCTGCCCCTTACCTCTCACACTCTATCTGTCTCTCTCTTCCTCGAAAATAAATAAACATTTTTAAAAATTCAAAGAAGGTTGATCTCAGATGAAAGGTCTGCAACGAGAGAAAGAATGAGGATTGAGAGAGACATGCTTTTGAATAGAATAAATGTTCATTATCTATGTAAAATGTGAATATATCCCCATATGAAGTTAAAATGAAATGGAATTACCATGTATTCCTTCAGACACCAACTGAGAGAAGGCTATTTGCTTAATGTTCTAAATCCCTTATATTTCCAAATGAGAAGAAAATGTATTTATAATTCTGTTAACCTTAAAAATAGAAGCTGGCAATTATTTTGCCAGCAAATGATGGGAAAAAGAATCGGGATCCAGGACAAATAAGCGGCAGCAGAAAAGTTGGGAAGGCTCTTATGACCTACAAGTCCCTTGTAGTAAACTGGGAATTCGTAGTGTGGTTCCTTTTCATTGGCTGAGCTGTCGCCTGAGGGGATGATGAAAGTGTTTCTACCTTTAGCTGGAGTAGTAGAGTGGTATCAATTTGCAAGGTCTAGTTCAGGTAAGGTCAAGTCCATCTCCTCCTTTTGGGTCTTCAATTGACTACAAGTGGGAGAGAGTGGAAGCCCCCCTCTGGAAACGTCCTGACTCCATTTGAGTGGGGCTTCCCATTACTAATTTCCACAACTCAAATGTATTAAATACATGTTTGCAGTTTTTAGCTTAAATACGATAAATAGGATCAGAGTATATACTTTTCAGGCTAAGAGAGGAAAAATTTGGAATATAATTTGTTGGACAAGAAAGAATTCACTGACCAAAAAAAATAGACTCCTCTTTGGCAATTATAATTGCAATTCAGGAGACACAGATTCAAGTAGAAACGGGGATAGTGTTCTGAGGAAGACAAGAGAGTGGGAAGAGTTATAAAGATAAAACTTCAAGGGGCACCTGGGTGGCTCAGTCAGTTGAGCTTCCGACTTCGGCTCAGGTCATGATCTCATGGTTCATGGGTTCAAGCCCCGCGTCAGGCTCTGTGCTGACAGCTAGCTCAGAGCCCAGAGCCTGCTTCGGGTTCTGTGTCTCTCTCTCTCTCTGACCCTCCCCTGCTTACACTGCCTCTCTCTCTCAGAAATAAATAAAACATTTTAAATGTTTTTTAAAAAAGATAAAACTTCAAGAGTGCAGTTCCTGTTTTCCTCCTGCATACCTGATGTCCCAGTAATTGGCTTTGCTGTGCATCAGGTAAACAGATTTGGGTTCGATTCCACCCCAAAGTCCTGCCCACCCAGCCTGAGGTCCACTGGGACGTGTAGTCTATGCTCCCTGCTGTGCTGCTCTCCTTCACGTGAGTGGAGGCCTTTTTCTTCTTTTCCAAGTAAACAAAACATTGACAGCTTTCAGGAATGGAACCGTAGATTTCACCCAGAAGGAGTAGTAGCTGTTGAGTCCTACTGACTATATCCCAGAGTCCGCTAAAATCATTCAAACTATCCAATCCAAGCTTTGCTCAGCGTGCCTACCCAGCCTGGCTTGTCCTACCCATGAGAACCTCAAAAAAGACTCAGGGCCATGCTTTCCCCCTCCTCTACTTCCTGTTTCAAGGTGGTGCTTCCCCATGTGGCCCTACACGCCACGCCGTGCCTCCTGTTTCTAAGGACTGGAGTAATACCTTCTTCCATTCTGAAAATCATTTCTGTGTCTGTATGTCTTACCATGCCTAGTTAGAACAAATCCCAGGTACATTTGGAGACAGTAGATAATAATTTTACCTAAGCCAACTGATTAAATAACCTGTTCTTTCTTCACTGATCAAATTCTGCATCCTTGTGTGGCTGTTTCAGGCTGTTAAGAGCCTCCATTTGTTTATTCCTGTAACAAAATTAAACTATCTGCATAGCCTTTTCTCGTTCTTTACTTTAAAAACTGCCATGCATTCAGTTGAGTGTTAATAAGAAATGTACAAATTGTGCTTTTTTCCTTTCCTTTCCTTTTTTTTTTTTTTTTTTTTTTTTAGGGAGAGAGAAAGCATGCATGAGCAGGGAGAGGGAAAGAGGGGTAAAGAGACGGTCTTAAGCAGACTCCACCCTGAGTGGGAGCTCAACTCAGGGCTCAATCTCACGACCCTGGGATCATCACCTGAGTCGAAATCAAGAGTTGGACATTCAACCCTCAACAGACTGAGCCACCCAGGTGCCCCTTGTGCTTTCTTTTTTAAGTTTATTTATTTATTTTTGAGAGAGAGCTGGGGAGGGGCAGAGAAAGAGGGAGAATCCCAAGCAGGCTCCACAGTGTCAGCACAGAGCCCAACATGGGGTTTGATCTCACAAATTGTGAGATCATGACCTGAGCCAAGATCAAGAGTCAGATGCTTAATGGACTGAATCACCCAGGCACCCTGTGCTTTTTCTTTCATAAAGACCACACCAATAAAACTATCACCCAGTTTAAAACAGAACATATAATGTTTCTTAAGCATCACTTGTCCCTTGCTCCCTTCACAAGACTCTCTGACTCCCTAGCATTCATCTGACATTTTGATAATTATGCTATCACGCTCTTGATGTCTTTATACTTTTACCATTTATGTTTATTTCCCTAAATGATAGTCTAGAGTCACATGCCACATTGTGGCCTGATCTAATAACTGATGCCACGTGAGTCTCTAGCATTTCATGTTCTCAATTCCAGTATTGACTCCAAATTCCTTTCCAGAATCAGCTACTTCCAGAAAGTCACAGGAAGGAGTGAATGCTTCATCATCTTTTGTTCTCATGAGTCATTCCAAAGCAGTGATGGATTTAGTCACTGCTCAGCCCACAGATGAGAGGGACAGGGGAAGACTTGGGGAAATGAAGACTGGCCCCAAAGAAATGGAACCAGCAGTGAAGGAGGTGATGGGAGTCCACATACTAAACTGGTGGCATTTCTTTTACCAGTGCTGCCTGGTGTCAATAATAGTCCAGCATCCTTCCTACCTGCAGAGAGTTTGCTTTGTATGTGGAAATGAATGGGCAATGGGAACACGGAACAGAAAGGGATGAAGGGGAGAAATCTGGGAGTGAGAGGAATGTTGGCTTAAGGGTTTGAAGCCTATTGTCCTACTTGAACACCAACCTTGGACCCTTATAAAGGGAAAGGGCGGGGCGTCTGAGTGGCTCAGTCAGTTGAGCATCGGATTTCAGCTCAGGTCATGATCTCCTGGTTGGTGAGGTTGAGCCCCACATCAGGCTCAACATGTCAGTTTGTCACCACAGAGCCCCCATCCGATGCTCTGCCCTCCTCTCCCTCTTCCCCTCCCCTGCTTTCTCTCTCTCTCAGTAAATATATATATATATATTTTTTAAATGTTTTATTTATTTCTAGGAGAGAGAGAGAGAGACAGCGTGAGCACGGGAGGGTCAGAGAGAGAGGGAGTCACAGACTGAAACAGGCTCCAGGCTCTGAGCTGGCAGTCAGCACAGAACCCGACGCGGGGCTCGAACCCACGAACCGCGAGATCATGACCTAAGCGAAAGTCGGACGCTCAACCGACTAAGCCACCCAGGGGCCCCTCAGTAAATATATTTAAAAAGAAAAAAACATTTTAAAAGGGGGGGAGGAAGGACGCACACAGATAGATGTGTGGGTGAGGGAGGAAGGCGAACACCTGGGATCCCCGACTATCTCCCCACCTATGTTCAGAACTGAGTCATTTCTCCTCACACACCAGGCACTGCTTCTCCATCGCTATCTATGATATTGTGCCTCCCCTTGGCGAGGGAAGTTTGGTAACGTACCACTGGTTCAGTCCAAGGAAACCGCTTTACTGTGGCTCTCAGTCCTTCAAGAGAAGGAACGCCTGTAGTACCAGATGCTCAGGGAAACTGAAATCCAGGACGGCCTACAATTCAGGATAGTCTCTGGAGGAAAGTATGGGACAGTTCTTTTTTTTTTTTTTAATAGTTTATGGTCAAGTTGGTTTCCATATAACACCCAGTGCTCATCCCCACAAGTGCCTTCCTCCATGCCCATCACCCTCCTTCCCCTCCCCCCACCCCCTTCAATCCTCAGTTTGTTCCCAGCATTCAAGAGTCTCTCATGGTTTGCCTCCCTCCCTCTCTCCCCCTATTTCCCCCTTTCTTCTCCCCCACGGTCCTCAGTTAAGTTCCTCCTTATCCTCCTGTACGTGCAAACATATGGTACCTGTCTTTCTCTGCCTGATTTATTTCGCTCAGCATAACACCCTCAAGGTCCATCCATGTTGCTACACATGGCCAGATTTCATTCTTTCTCATTGCCATGAAGTATTCCATTGTATAGATGAACCACATCTTCTTGATCCATTCGTCCGTTGATGGACACTTAGGCTCTTTCCTTGTTTTGGCTATTGTTGAGAGTGCTGCTATGAACATGGGGTCCATGTGCCCCTATGCATCAGCACTCCTGTGCCCCTTGGATAAATTCCTAGCAGTGCTATTGCTGGGTGGGACAGTTTTTGACCCAGATTTCTCTAGCCAGCCATCTCGGCAGCTTGGCCTCTGCCTCCATGGTGGGGCAGTGGGAACTACATTACCCAGAAGGCGCTGCGCCTGTGGCATTCGCGCTCGGCCAATGAAAAGGAGCGTTTTCTCGCGTGGGGAACGAGCTGGGCGGGACTTGTGGCGTGGCCGCAGGGGCGGGCCTTTCGGGGTGTTTGGGGCCCCTCGGTCTAGTCGGAGGCTCCCGGTGGCTGCCGTGGGGCTGGGGCGACGGGAGCGAGGAGCCACGAGAGAAGGCAGGCGTTGTGCTCGCTGAGGCGGGTCGGAGGCCTGCCAGAGGCGTCCAGGGGTGACCCCGATTCCGGATCGGGGCCGGGGGTGGGCGGGGCCGTGCTGGTCCTCCTCTCCCGACTCCCCTCCGCTCAGAGTCCGATGGCGGCGGCAGCGCGGAGGGACCCGGCTCCGGTAAGCGCTGGTCCCCGGGTCCTCCCCGCACACCCCGAAGTCCGAAGGGGTGGCCCATGCTCACGACCCTGCGTCGAGGTCCCCATTTCTGTCAGCCAATGTGATGGGGTGTGGGACGGTCACAAGCAGAGGAGGGTCACAGGCAGAGGGACAGGGCTCGAGCGGAGTCCTAATCCTGGGGTTTGATCGCAGGGAACAGCTCGAGAGGGGACGGGTCGCGAGTGGAAAGGCAGCCCGAGCGGATGGGCCTTGGCCCTGAGCCGTTGGTGGCCACGGAGCGCTGTCCACACAGGAGACACCTCAGCTGTTGCTCAGAGCTTTCAAAGGCGTCTTAGGGAGCACAGATGGGACGGGGTGAGGAGGGTGGAGCAAGTACGTACAGTGGACCGCTAGACGGTTGTGGCGGGGGCTGGACTGGACCGATGGCAGGGGAGGGGGTACACCGATAGGTGTCAGATGGAGTTTTAAAACGGGACAGAAATTTCCTGATGCATCAGAAGTGGCTGTGAGAGAAAGAAGGGAATGAAGGACCATTAGTGTTTTTGTTTGTTTGTTTTAATGTTTCCTGAAACTCTCGGGAAGGATGGGGATGGGGAAGATGGTGCAGGAGCACGCTTCAGAGAGAAGAGTAGGAGCTGGATTTGGGGCAGGGTAACCCCGAGATTACGTGTGGCGTGCAGGTGTCCCGTGGGTAGCTTGCTCACTCCTGTCTCAAGTCCTGTGGAGAGATCCGCGTGAAGCCAAGAGCTGGAAGATACTGTCCTGAACCAGGGCAAGGCCCAGGACACCTATTTGGGAAGAAGAATTGCCAAATTCATATTTAAGACGGGCCGGGAGGTGGGGCTGCTGCCGGAATGGGGGATCTCCTGGTCCGAAGTGGTTCTGGTCGGTGTGTGAGGCAGCGGAGGGTCACAGGGTAAAGACCCAGGACCGGAAGGAGACTGGGATGGTTGCCCCACCAAGCCCAGCAGGGTGTGCCTGCTCAGTTCCCATCTGCGTGGGCTCCGGGATTCTGTGACTCTTTCCCCGCTACTCTCCCCACCCTTCCATCCTAGCCCTGGAAGGTGAGCACCTAAGGTCAGGGACCTGAGTCCAGACCAAGAAACCAGTGGCATGAGGTTTGTAAGACATTACATTCACAGTGATAAACATTGGAAAATGCTGGAGGTGAAGCTGGGCCAGGAATACTCACGCAACTTTAGGTTTTTACTAGGTGTGGTGGAAACAGCAGGAAGCAGAAATTAGACCTGGAGTTGTAGCCAGGAGCTGGGCCGCCATTCTGGAGCGGGGGAGGTGACAGCACGAGATTTAATGAGCTTCCCCTGCTACAGAGCGAGGGCAGCCGTGGGGAGGCGGCGGCCACAGTGGTCAGGTGAGTGTTGGCGGTGGCTGCGGGGCCGGGAGATATGTTGGCATCTGTGTCTGCTTATCAGTAGGTCCAATTAGACTTTCTGACGTGGAGGGTGGGAGAAAGAAGTAGAAGAGTCGGCGGTGACTCCGAGGTGTTTAGTCTTAGCATCTAGAAGCAGGCAAGTAGCACCAGGGCAGAGTCGGTGGTAAGAGTCACTTTCGGCGGAAATATTGGGAGTCAGGTTTGGGCTGCGTTGAATGGGATGCTTCAGAGACCCTCGAGTGGATGTGTCGAGGGGCAGACACACAAGTGTGGAGCTGAGGTTAAGCGGTCAGGTTGGAGACGCCCCCGGTACGGATGGTGTGCAGATCAGATTTGGCAGGAGCATCTTCAGGCCCTGGTGGCAATGCCGTGTGGTAACAAGGGCGGGGGGAGCGTGGGGCCGAGGACCGAGCCTTGCTGGACACCTGGGAAGGGGTGGGAGGCTTCACAAAGACTCATGAGGGAGAGCCGTGTCTGGGGACCAGGTGTAGGAGTGAGGAGGGTCTGGCTGGTGGCCAGTGGCCATGAGGCGGATGTGGAGACGGGGCAGTGAGAGGACACCGCTGCTGACTCATCCAGCTCTGGGCTCCCCAGGCTCTTGCTCTGACCTTTGCTGGGACCAGGAGATTAGCTCAAGGTGACATGGGATCTTGGGGAGAATGGGCAGACCTAGTGTGAGAGGCATGTGGGCTTGGGCTTCAAATAAATGTAAGAGGACGCTGAGGTCGGCGAGGGGACACCTTTGCCACACAGCAGCAGAAGAGAGCCGCGGGTGTCTGAAATCTGTGTGTGGTTCCTGGTGGCTGAGGATGAAGCAAGGATAAGGACCAGGCAGGAAGGCCTTGAAAGCAGGCCTGGGGGGTGCCTTTGGAAGTCTGGGACAGGATGGCATTCTGATTACATACACTGGCATTTGGTGGGGCCAGGGAGATGATGATGTGCAGGGGGAGGAGGTGGCAGTGAGCTGTCGGAATATGCGGGAGGTGTGGCACAGTGATGAACTTGTTGGGTGTGTAAACTGATGGCTCCAGGCCCTTGTGCTGGCGGCTAAAGGGAGCACAGTGGCCCAACATAGCTGTGTTTGGGAAGCACAATCTGGGGGACCCCAAGTGAATTGTCTGGCAGAAGGGTGACGCTCTTCTGGCATTTGCCTACCCACCTGTTGTTGCTGGGACTGAACACTGCCTATCGGGGCAGTGAGGAGCAAGCAGGCATCAGTGGTTTAGTATCTCCTCTGGGGGGTGGGGGGGGGGGGGACACTTGTGGGGATGCCTAGAGTCCTGGGAAAGGATGCTGCACATAAACTCAACTGTCCCATCTTGACAGGGCCGTGTGACCTTTGAGGACGTGGCTGTCTACTTCTCCTGGGAAGAGTGGGGTCTCCTTGATGAAGCCCAGAGACTCCTATACCGCGATGTGATGCTGGAGACCTTTTCACTGATGGCCTCTCTGGGTAAGGTCATCACAAACCCAGTCCGGTGTCCTGGGCTGGGCTCTGCTCTTCCCCTTTACCTCACCGGCTGGTCTGGCCCTTCCAAAGCCAGACCGTGGGCATTTCTTCCTTCCCTGTGTTCTTGAGTAGGTGCTGTGACAGCCTGGGCTGCGTGCACTGGCCCTTCTGTTCCTGAGCCACCTGAATGCTCGCTGCTCCAAAGCCATGTGGGAAAGTGTGGGGATTAGGAGTCTTGCAGTCAGCCTAAGCAGTCATGCCCCATCCGTCTCTCCCTGGCCTGAGGATGCTGTGAAGGTTTCCGGCCGCTCTTTGTGCCCCAGGCTCTGCCCTCTTCTCTGGCCGACGTGTGGGATGTGTCTGTACGGCGATGGAGGCACCGACAGGCCACTGCTTGATTGGGCTGTTCCTGCAAGAGTGTCTTCTAAGATTCTTCCATAATATTTAGTTTTCTTTCCTTGGTCTGTCATGAGCCGGGTCGCTTTGATCTACCTGTCTTATCTCCCCCTTAGGACTCGCATCTTCCAGGATGCATGAAATCACCCAAATGGAGTGGTGGAGAGAGCCCTCTTTGCCTCCCCGTGGAGTTTTGGCCACAGCTGTGCCAAGAGGTACTTGGAGGGAGGAGCTGAACTCCGGTACGAGCTCAGGTCAGACCAGGAATCCTTGTATTGCGCCCTGGTGGTTGGGTGCTGAGCCACAGTCCATGGCTGAGTTTCACCTTTTCTTTCTCAGTTGCGTATTTGGCACGTCAACTCTGATATCTGACCGAGGACCATCCCCCACCTTTCTGTCCTCCCCATCTCACCTGGTCCTCCCCACTGCTCCCTCTGCAGTGCTCCCCAGCAGTGGCCTTATTTTGTATTTTATGAGATGGCGAGTCAGGCACAGAGCACAGGAGACACAGAAGCAGCTCAGGAAAAAGCAAAGTTTATTATGTGCAGCAGGTCCAGAGAGACAGTCACGCCACGCTGGGGGGTGTATATATGTGGGGGGGTGTTCACGTGGGAGGGAGCACCCAGGGAGTGGGCTCAACAAGCAGGGGGAAGCAGAGAGTGAGTGAGGACCCGTGGGTCGGGGGCAGACACAAGAATAGGTGTGAGCGGATGTCATTTGGAACATTCGAATGTCACTAGGTCACAGGCGAGGGCAAGAACGGGGGCTTGTGGCAAGGACCAGCCATATCACTTGGGTCAGTTGGTCACCTGGGTGGGGTGTTCACAGCCTGTTTGTGGGGATGTTGAGGCAGCAGGAAAATGTGGAAGCTTGAAAGGTTAACAGTACAGTCGAGCCTGTGGTGTCCCAACCCTATCGGCTATACTAGGTGGGACGGCCCACACTGGCCACCTGGGGATGGAGCTGTCAATGGTGCCTGGAGCAGCTTGGTCTAGCCACCCAAGGCAAGCCTTGACATAGACAGTGGGGCGGAGTCGTAGGCACACGCTGAGGGCTTGAAACCTAGTCCCCAGCCAGACGCTGCACTCAGTGAGGGAAATCCAGGAGAACAGGTCCTGTACTCTTGGTTTAAGGACAGCTTTTGGAAAGTTTTGGTTACTCTATGAAATATATTTTTTTAACGTTTATTATTTATTTTGAGAGAAAGTACACACAAGCTGGGGAGAGGGGCAGGCAGAGAGAGAGGAGGGAGAGAATCCCAAGCAGGCTCTGTGCTGTCAGCGGGGCTCAAACCCACAAACCATGAGATCAGACCTGAGCCGAAATCAAGAGTCTAAAGCTTAATTGGTTGAGGCGCCCCTGAAAGATTTTTATCTCTTGGCCTAATTGTCAAAGCTTGGCTTATAGCTGTGTCTAGAATTAGTGATTTACATTCAGCAGGAGGCACCCTAAGAAACACGAACACCTCTCCTAGCTGGCAAACAGCTGTAAGCCGGTCTGTTACCGTGACCATTTGGACTTAGAGACTTGTGGGCTTGTTGCATATGGACCAATGTTTAGTGCAGCCTTTCTACGTGATCTTGAGAGGGCCGCCCAAAGGTGCTGGTGGGCAGCCATGCCATAATCCCGCTCAACAAAGGCCGCTGAACTGCGGCCAGCTCTGGCATCTCCCGTGGCTGTGGCCAGGCCTTCTCAGATGGGAATACGTGTTGCCTGTGTTGCCTGTGTTGCCTGAGGCCAATAGCAAAGCGGGGGAGGGGGGGTACCCGGTGGATAAAGAACTGTGGGGATCCCTGGTGTGAGCACCGCACACTGGGGTACAGACTCTGGGGGTCAGCAGGGAAAGTACAGAAAGTGCTGTGCCTGTGAGTTTGGGCCGCAGTAGAATCCAGAGGTGCCATTGCTTAAAGGCTAATGTGCTCGTGAGGTGTTTAGCATGAGGAGAGCAAAAACCCTAACATGAGGCATCGGTCAAGGGTGGCTGGCTCCTGGGCACAAGCGAAAAGCCTGTGAGAGTGACTTGATCATAATGTGCAGCCGTCCTGGGTGAGTGGAGCTGGGGACAAAGGCAGGTGGCATAAGCAAACAAGGTGCTTTGGGGGTACCCTTCTGGGTCCTGACAGATGGCGGGCAGTGACAAGGCTGTCTAACTCACTCAAGGACAACTCAATAAATGTGCATTGGGTTCCTTGAAAGGCAAAGGCAAACATGGGCTGTGACTGGTAACAGGTACTGAATAAAAGATATTGCCCAGATCTACCACAGCAAAATAGTCACTGGGCACCCTCTAGTTCAGTTTTGTTAGGTATTAGAGCCTGGGTGGGGGGAGCTTAAGCTTTGCGGTTTTGATAATCAATAGTTAGTGGCACTGTTGGTAGAAGCCTTGATGACTGGCCAAACAGGATTATTGAAAGAGGAAATTAGAATAATTCCCCCTTCTTTTAGTAGATCTCAAACAACCCTCTGAAGGCCACCTGTTTCAGGTGATATGGTGGTGTGTTTACTGCCTTCACCCACAGGGGTGCCCCCCGGCTCTCACTTGGTGATTCTTACTTGCAGGGCCAGGGACTGTGGGTTGTTTCCAGCTTTGCACACGGCCTGCCTGCCGTGGCATCTCTGCCTATAGCAGGAAAACTCAAGGCGTTAGAGGGCGCTGTGGTGGGAAGAAGTTTAATAAGGATTGTTGCAGTATTGACAGCATGGGCACTTTACTTGTCATGAGTAGTTTTACTGCCATTACCCTGTAGTTTAACAGGGGCACCTCCTTTAAGTCTGAGTTGGGTTGCTTGGAATGATGGTGGCTTGGGCTCCTGTAGTTCATACAGTTAGGGAATGTTTATTTTTAGAGTTCCAGTGAATTACCAGAGTTGTACGTGGGTGATTGTCCTTGGGGGTTTGTGACAAGGTCTGAGGCCCTGCTGAATCCTCACTGAAGAGGTCTTGGCGGTTACCATTTTTGGAGCTGAAGCATCGTTGGGTGGTTCCAGAGGAGTGGTTCCCCAAGCCTACAGACCTGTGGGTAATGATGGGTGAGGCTCTTCTAATCTCCTTTAGCTGTTATATTTTGGGGATGGCTTGCCTAGTACTTCACGGGGTCTCTCGGCTGTCAGCGAATGAGGCGAGGCCAAATGGCCCAGAAGCAGCATCAGCAAATTGGGAAGGACAGAGCAGGCTGAGTGGTGGAGGTGGGGGTACCTGCATCCTAGGAGGCAGAGTGTGGAAAGTCAGACTTTGTGAGTCATGGTGGGTAGAGCCCTATGGCATGTCAAGAAATTGTTCGATGCTGTTTGGCATGAACGTGCTGATAAAAGTCAGCAATTCTGCTCTGAACTGGGAAGGGCGCCTGCAAGAACAACTGGACCCCATGACAATCCTCCGTGGATTGTTCTTGTCTCAACGTTCAGAGTACTGAAGGTGCACTGAATCTTTCCAGTTTTTGCAGAGGAGCATGAGGGTGTCCCTGGTAGTGTGATGGTTTTCTGTTGGCCATCTCCAGGCTGTGGAAATCCAGGTCCACAGAGGCAGGGCTTCTGAATCCTGAGGGTGGGAGAGGTTTCAGATTCCTCAGCTGAGGCTTTGATATAACCTCAAAAAGTTTTGGCTTCTGTCACCCTTGTGCTAATATTTGGGATACCCTGTATTCTCTGTGGGTGACTTCAGCCCCAAAACACCATGTGAGGCCAGAAGATCTTGAAGTAAATGATGCATCTTCAGCTTTTTAAATTTTGTTAAATGTTTATTTTTGAGAGGGAGACAGAGTGTGAGTGGAGATGGGCAGAGAGAGAAGGAGAGACAGAATCTGAAGCAGGCTCCAGGCTGTCAGCACAGAGGTCAACATGGAGCTCGAACCCATGAACCATGAGATCATGACCTGAGCTAAAGTTGGATGTTTAACTGACGGAGCCACCCAGGCGCCCCTTCAGCTCTTTAAAGTGATACCAGCAGCTGCCTCATCCCTGGGGCTCTCTGTGAGCAAGAGCTGCTCTCGCCCATGCTCTTGGTAACCACTGAACTCCTTCCCCACTCTGTCTCTTTGCACAGAGTCTTTAATAGTTTGGATTTCCAGTCTTGTGAAGTTAGGAATTTTAGATTCTAGTTCCTTGTGGTCTCCTGTGTTCTTGACCTGCTGGGTCTGAAAGACCTTGGATGCTTCCTTCCTGTGGCCTCATCTCTGTGGGTGACCTCAGATGGGTTGGAATCCATTGAGGAGAGCTGTGGTGGCCAGATGACCTTTTGGTATTGGTCCTAGACCTTGGGAGTGGAGCTGGCAAGTTGACAGGCAGTGGCACTAAGCAAAACCCAGAAATGTTTCAAAGTTGATTTACCTTTCTTGAGTCACTGGCTCATGTCCTCTGCTTACTGGGAGGTGCTAGAATTAAATGTTCCTGATGAGATCCTGGGCCCTAAGATCTTGAGCCACTTACCTCCAGGGATGGGACCCATGGGAGTGGGAGACAAAGAGCAATAGCAGCAACATGACACAGAGAAGATATGCCAGCAGTACTGACATTCATGGGGGGCCACGGTAGACCCCCATGAAGGGGATGCAGCATCGCTCTTTGGGTCTGAAGAGGAACATCGACTTGAGTGGGAATGTGAGGAACCTCCCCATCCTGGTGCCATGAGTGCACAGGAGTCCTCCCCCAAAGGTTGCCCAGCCCTCCTCTGCCGATAAGACAGCTAGTAGCCCAAGCCTGACATGCGGTGTGTCTTTGCTGGGTGTGGGGAGCCCACCCTTCCGCCCTCACCCTAGGTCCAATGGAGACCTCATAATATGTTTAGCCAACTATACCAGTCTGCCCCTTAATCAGGGAGCACTGGGCACTCTCCCACACCCATCCCACCACCCTGTTGAGTCAGGGCTGGCCAGAAGTGAAGTCTCGAGGTATTTTAGGAGAATGAACTCCACAATTTAGCGTGGAAAGCCTTGGCAGAGCCTGAGAGGTGACAGAGCAGCTCAAAGCAGCACATGGGAACGCTGCATGACACCTGGCCTCCCCAGGTGGTAGAACCCAGCTGGGACAGCAGGTTAGTAAACCAAGCAGTTCTGGACATTTCCTAAATCCTCACCCATGAACAGGACCAGACTGTCCTGTTTGTTACATCAACCATTTTGTATTTCCTTGTGGGGTAGGCGCAGGAATAAATTATGATGCTCCCCTGGGAGGGAGTGCACAGGGAGGGGGGCTCAGCCAGGCAGGGGCATAGAGGGGACCTGGGCACACGTGCTTGAAGTGGGAGGCAGGGTGAGGTGCACAAGAAAAGGAGTGAGGGAATTTCACTGGTGCGTTTGAATGGCACCAGGTCCCAGTCGGGTGGGTAGGAAGAGGGACTTGTGGCAGGGCCCCCCCTTGTCACACTAGTGCATGTGGTCACATAGCTCACAGCTTGTTTGTGGAGATGTAGAGGCAGCGGGAGAATATGGAGTTCTCAAGGTCATGGTATAGGCGTTCACCGACGGAGTCCCAAGGCATGCATGTGTCCTTAATGGTCCTCCAACACCAGCTGTTCAGTTGCATTTAATTTCTTCTGGGCCTGGACACACCTTTTTGTACGTGGTCCTGTGTCCTCAGTGGCCTTGCTGAAGGCCATTTGCAGAGGAATGTGTTGGAGACCCAGCCTGCACCCTGTCATTGCTGCTTGTGAGGCCACCCCCTGCCAGTGTTCGAGCCTGACGGGCCCAGCCCTGCACAGCAGCCCCCCCTCACCCTGAACCCAGGCCCGATTCTGCTAGCAAAACCGTGGACTGATTCCTGGGCATGTCGGACACATCTGTGAGAGTGCTACCCACTCCCCTGCACAGAAGTCCATACATACTTCACCAGCATCTCTTTGCTTTCAGGTGTGCGGCGTAGAGCAGAAGTTGAGGAAGCACCTTCTGAGCAGAGTGTTTATGTAGAAGGAGTGTTCAGAGCAAACCTTCAACAGCAGACGCTGCACTGTGGAGAGAGACCTTTAAGAAGACACGAGGGTGGGGAGGGTGGAAAGGACTTCCCAGCTAGTGCTGGTTTTCTTACCCATCAGGTGACCCACAGCGGAGGGAAGACACACAGGAGTACTGAAGGTGGGGAGGCCTTCCACCCTGGAAAAAGGCATTACAAATGCAGTGAATGTGGGAAAGCCTTTGGCCAGAAATACTTACTTGTTCAGCACCAGAGACTGCACACTGGAGAAAAGCCTTATGAGTGCAGCGAATGCGGGAAATTATTTAGCCATAAATCAAACCTTTTTATACACCAAATAGTTCACACTGGAGAAAGGCCTTACGGGTGTAGGGAGTGTGGAAAATCCTTCAGCCGCAATGCCGACCTCATTCAACATCAGAGAGTCCACACTGGAGAAAAGCCTTTTACATGCAGTGAATGTGGAAAAGCGTTCAGGCATAATTCCACACTTGTTCAGCATCACAGGATCCACACTGGGGTGAGGCCTTATGAGTGCAGCGAATGTGGGAAATTCTTCAGCTTTAACTCAAGCCTCATGAAACACCAGAGAGTTCACACTGGAGAAAGGCCTTATAAGTGCAGTGAATGTGGGAAATTCTATAGCCACAAGTCAAGCCTTATTAATCACTGGAGGGTTCACACTGGAGAAAGGCCTTATGAGTGCAGCGAATGTGGGAAGTTTTTTAGCCAAAGCTCTAGCCTCATGCAACATCGAAAAGTTCACACTGGAGAAAAGCCTTTTAAGTGCAACGAATGTGGAAGATTCTTCAGCGAGAATTCCAGCCTTGTTAAACACCAGAGGGTTCACACAGGAGCAAGACCTTATGAGTGCAGGGAATGTGGGAAATTCTTTCGCCACAGCTCCAGCCTTGTTAAACATCGGAGAATTCACACTGGAGAAATGCCTTATGAGTGCAGTAATTGTGGGAAATCCTTTAGCCAGCGTTTCAACCTCCTTCAACACCAGAAAGTTCACAGTGGAGAAAGGTCTTGAATGCAGCTCATGTGGAAAAGCCTTTTTTTTTTTTTACCAAAGTTCTGCTCTGATTCAGCAGAGAAAGCTTCAGTCCAGATAGGCCTAATGAATACAGTAAATGTGAAGAGTCTTTTGGCTTCAGCCAAAGACTTAACCATGTTGGGCATCAGATCGTTCAGACTGGAGAGAAGCTTTGGGAGTACAGTGCTGTGTAGTCTCATGGGCAACCTGACTTCAAACAGCGGAGCTCTGCCAGTAACCTTTATTAGGGAGCCGCAGTGGAATATCACTCTTCCAGGTATGCTGACACACTGTCTGCTGAGAGGATCGGCCTCTTCCGGGGAGCTCCAGGAAGAGTCCTGTGTTCCTGCATGTAGCCATTTGGAGCAGTTTCCACCTTTGTCATTGGAATGGGAAGAGGGAATGGTCTTGGCTCAAATGTGATGGGCTCTTGCTGTTCTTACTGAATATTAGGTGTTCTTGAGGAAATGTTTCCTCATTTGCAGTTTACCTGTAGGGCCATTTCCAGAGACTTTAAGTTGTGTTTTTATAATTTTCCCCAATTTTAATTAGAAGCAGGCCTGCAAAGTTCCTCAAGATGGTATGCAGGAAGTTGATCTATTTAACTTCGTAAGAACTTGCCAAGTTGTGTCCTAGATAGTTAGGCCATTTCATATTTCCTCCTAGAATATATTCAGTTTCCAGAGTCTTCACATCATTGCTGACCTTTGTATGTTAAGACACGGGCCATTCATTCATTTCAGCCACTCTAGTACATGTGTGGTTTTAAGTTGCATCTCCCTAGTGACTCAGTGTTGAGCATTATTCTCTGTGTTTATCTGCCACCCATGTATCTTCCTTAGGGAATTGTCTGTTCATGTTTTGCCTACATTTAGAAAAATTTGTTGGTTTCTTACCATTTTGTGATTTGATATATTCTACATAGATGGAAGTTTCTTATTTGGTATATCTTTACCAGTGTTTTCTCACAGTCTGTGCCTTTGATTTTCATTTCTTAACAGTCTCTTTCTTAGAGCAGAATTTAATTCTCATGAAGTTCAATTTATTTATTTGTTAGTGACTGCACGTTTGGTATTCTATTTTTTTCTCTTATGGAACTGTATCTTTGTTAATAAAAAATCTGAGTATGCTGGAGTCTTATCAGTCCTTATCCAATCACTGAAGAATTCAGTGTAGTAGAAATATGTACCTGTGTACATATCCCCTATCTCTTCTCAGCCTAGAAAGCAGTGGCACTGCAGTAGACACCAGCATATTTAATGGCCAGTTGTTGTCTTATAAATGTAACTTCTTAATAAAAAGAATCAGAACTCAGGAAAGAGGCTCTGTTCAGGTTGGGGGCAGGAAAGGTACATGAGCCTAGGAAATATTCTTCAATTAGCCAAGAAATGCTCACAGAATGATATTGATGTATTAGCTTTCCAGTCCTGTCCTAAGAAATCAGCACAAACCTATGGCTTAAACCACACAAATTTATTACAGTACCGTGGATTCAAAGCCCTCCCCAGGACCTACACAGGACAGGTCTCAATGGGCCAAAATCAAGGTGTTGGCAGTGGGATATGTTCTTTTCTGGAGGCTCTAAGACAGACTGTTTCCTAGTCTTTTGAGTTGTCGGACAATTTCAGTTCCTTGTTGTAGGACTCCCGTCCCTGTTTTCTCTGGCTGTCAGCTTAGGGTCGTCCCTGGAACATTTTAGAACCTTTACAACATATGGAAAGCTAAAACAATGCCAGTTGTGCACAAAATCTTCCAAAATAAGGTTCAAACATTTCCCAACTAATTAAGTGAACCCAATACTAACATGATACTACACATGGAGAATGGTATTTAGACAAATTACAGAGCAATACCCACATCAACATAGATACAGCAAAGCCTTAACAAAAACATTTGGGGGTTGGGGAGGATGATGGCGGCACAGTAGGAGGACTCTAGGCTCGCCTTGTCCCATGAATACAACTAAATTTCAGACTATCCTAAATACCCCAGAAATCAACCTGAAGGCAGAACAAACTCCACAACTAAAGACAGAAAAGAGGCCCATCAAAGAAGGTTAGGAAGTGTGGAGACGTGGTTTGGGAGAGAAATGGATCGTGGCCGACATTTGGAGGGAGAGAACCATGGTCACAGAGACGGGCAAGAGACAAACTGGCACACAAGAAAACACAGGGAAAATGAATCCCCATAGCAACTCGCTTGGAAAGCAAGAGGGGCCAAATTTCATGAGTTTTGTAAGCCCGGAGTTCTAAAGTTCAGAGGCTTGGATCAAATAGAGACCTGGGGCCTTGAGGCTGCTTTTGGAGAGAAGGCAGGGCAAAGAGCCTGTGGAATACAGCATGGAAACAGTGATCTGAAGAGTGCCTGGGGCACACAGTGGGGAGGTCATTTGCCCATCTTGGAGTGTATCTCAGAGAGGCAGAATTCACGGAGAGACCCCTGCAGGAAGAAGGGAACTGGTAGGCACCATTTCCCTCCCCTGCCCCTCAGCATAAACACAGGGCCACCTGCGGGAACCAGTGTAGCACAGACACTTGCTCACTTGCTGCCTATCTTGCTCACACCAAGCCAGCACCCCCCATGCTCTGGTAGAACCACCCTTCCTGGTCATGTTTGCCTCAATCCCAGTAGAGTGAGCTCCCCTCCCTCAGAAGACTGGCCCACATCCCAGCCAATACTGCATCTCCCAACCTGAGAGTTCTGCAGGTCCTCCGTTACAGTGACAGAGGTGACAGGTCTCATTTCACAGGCATACCAGAGCACATCTAGTTAACATGTGCTACATTCGGACCAAGGATAAAACATTACCCACAACAGGCAAAGAGCCTCTGCAGGTGACTGGCCGAAAGGAGAAAGCATCCAAGACAAAACAGCAGAACACATGCAGCACGTATTAGAAACCCTCTCAGGAGTGCCAGGCCCTGGGCGGAAAGGGGACACTACATGGCGGGCACTACAAGACCTCTTACTTATAAAGCCCTCAAGAGCAGGAGACCTAGTTGACTTTCCTAACATACAGAAATAGGCACAGAGACCTAAAATGAGAAGAGGTCCCAAATGGAATAGGATAAGGCCACAGACAGAGATCTAAATGAAACGGATATAAGTAACATGTCTGATGGAATATTTAAAGCAATGATCATAAGGATACTTACTGGACTTGAGAAAAGAGTGGAAGACATCAGGGAGACCCTTAATATAGTGATGAAAAGAGAACTAATCAGAAATGAAGAGTGCAATAAATGAGATTAGAAACATGCTTAATGCAATGAACAGCAGGCTGGAAGAAGCAGAAGAAGGAATTAACCACCTAGAAGAGTAATGGAAAGTAATCAAGATGAAAAGAGAAAAAAAAAGAATTATGTAAAATGAGAATAATCTCAAGAGAACTCAGTTACTCTCTCAAATGTATTAATTGCATGGGAGGAGGAGGAGAAAGGAGAAAAGAGGGCAGAAAAATTATTTGAAGATATTAATAGCTGGAAAATTCCCTAATATGAGCAAAGAAATACCCAGATCCAGGAGACATACAGGCTCCCCCCTCCCCCAACAAAATCAACAAAAGTAGATCCATACCAAGACATATTATAATTAAAATGGCAAAATACAGTGATGAAGAAAAAACGTTAAAAGTGGCAAGACAAATTCTACCAAACATTCAAAGAAGATTCAATACCTATCCTTCTCAAACCCTTCCAAAACAATGAGGAGGAGGGAATGCTTCCAAACTCCTTTTATGAGTCCAGTTTCACTCTGCTATGAAAACCAGACTACTACATGGAAAAGAAAATTACAGGCCAACATCACTGATGAACCTAGGTGCAAAAAATCCTTAAAATATTAGCAAAACAAATTCAATATGTTATTAATATAATATGGCCAAGTGGGATTTATTCGAGGAATGTAAAGATAATTGAACACCAGCAAATCAGTGTGATACACATTAACAAAATGAAGGACAAAAATCATATGATCATCTCAATAGACACAAAAATAGCATTTGACAAAATTCAACATCATTTATGATAAAAGCTCAACAAGGTGGGTATAAATGAAATATACCTCAATGTGATAAAAGCCATATATGACAAGTCCACTGCTATCATACTTAATAGTGAAAGCCGAAAGCTTTTCCTTTAATGTCAGGAAAAAGAAGGCCCACTCTCGGCACTTTTACTCAACATAGCATTGTAAATCCTAGCCAGAGCAATCAGACAGGGAAAAGAAGTAAAAGGCATCCAAATTACAGAGGAAGAAATAAAACTGTCACTATTTGCTGACCACATGATTTTATTCATTAAAAAATCCTGAGGGGCGCCTGGGTGGCTTGGTTGATAAAGTGTCTGACTTTGGCTTGGGTTCATGAGTCCAGACCCCGCAATAGGCTCTCTGCTGTTGGCACAGACCTGCTTCAGATCCTCTGTGCTCCTCTCTCTCTGCCCCTCCCTGCTCACACTTGGTGTCTCTCTCTCTCTCTCTCTCTCTCTCTCTCAAAAATAAACATTTTAAATCCTGAAAACTCCATTAAAAAACTGTTAGAATAAACAAGCTCAAATTTGTTAAATTTCAGTAAAGTACAAAATCAACAAACAAAAATATGTTGTGTTTTTATACACTAACAACAAATAGAAAGGAATTTAAAAAGCAATTCCATTTATAATTGCATCAAAAAGAATAAAACACTTAGGAATAAACTTAACCAAGGCAGTAAAAGACCTGTACACTGATTACTATATAGGGCTTTGATGAGAGAAATTGAAGACGACACAAATAAATGGAAAGATAGTCTGTGCTCATGGATTAGAAAAAATAATGCTGTTAAACTGTCCATATTACCCAAAGCAATCTACAGATTCAATGCAATCCCTGTAAACATTTCAATGCATTTTCCACAGAATTAGAACAATCCTAAAATGGGTATGGAACCACAAAAGATCCCAAATAGACAAAGCAATCTTGAGAAAGAAAAACAAAGCTGGAGGCATGATGCTCCCTGATACCAAACTATTACAAAGCTATAGTAATCAAAACAGTATTGTAGAGACATAAAAAGACACATAGATGAGTGGAAGAGAACGGAGGCCAGAAATAAACGGTCAATTAAT